GCATCTGAAACCCAACACCTGCATCCCAGCATCTGCATCCCGACATCTGCATCCCGACATCTGCATCCCGACATCTGCATCCCAGCATCTGCATCCCAGCATCTGCATCCCAGCATCTGCATCCCAGCATCTGCATCCCAACATCTGCATCCTGACATCTGCATCCCAGCATCTGCATTGTTGCATTGCACCTGACTCTGCATCCCAGCATCTGCATCCCAACATCTGCATCCCAGCATCTGCATCCCGACATCTGCATCCCAGCATCTGCATCCTGACATCTGCATCCCAGCATCTGCAACCCAGCAACTGCATCCTGACATCTGCATCCCAGCATCTGCATCCCAGCATCTGCATCCCAACATCTGCATCCCAGCATCTGCATCCTGACATCTGCATCCCAGCATCTGCATCCTGACATCTGCATCCCAGCATCTGCATCCTGACATCTGCATCCTGACATCTGCATCCCAGCATCTGCATCCCAGCATCCAGCTCCATGGGGCAGAGCCAGGACTCACCCGTGAGGTGCCAGCTGGGACCGTGCCCAAACTGCTCCAGAGGCCCTAGGACTCTCTTGATCCAGGCTCCATCTGCAAGCAAGCATCCATGGGGCATCAGCACCACAGCAGGACACGGAATGGGGCCTCAATGGGGCCTCAATGGGGCCTCAATGGGGCCTCAATGGGGCCTCGGAGGGTTTGGAACCTCCTCCTCAGGGATCCAGGCCACAATGGGGGACCGGGATACAGGGAGAGGTGATGGAGCACTGAGGAGCATCCTTGGGACATGGGAGCCAATGGAGCAACCTAGGAGCATCCTTGGGACATGGGAGCCAATGGAGCAACCTAGGAGCATCCTTGGGACATGGGAGCCAATGGAGCAACCTAGGAGCATCCTTGGGGGTGGGTGGGGTTTGGGTGGGGTGGGTGGGTTTGGGTGGGGTGGGTGGGTTTGGGTGGGGTGGGTGGGTTGGGTGGGGTGGGTGGGTTTCCCAGGCTTCCAATTGGGAGCCTCTTGCATTGGAAGAAAGGGGGATTCCTGCTGGAAAATCCCATTGGAAGGCTGCTTTGTCCCCATCCAATGGGATCTCTCCATCCTATAACATTCCATATCCACCTTTCCCATTCCCCCCCATGAAGAACTTACTCCGGTGCTCGTAACCCCAGTCCTCAAAGCTGGAATCCATGGGAGCATCTTGCTTGGTACCAACGATGCCAGCACCTGGAAGGGAGCAGGGATCAGATGCTCAGAGCCCAGTCCCCACCTGGAGAATGGGATCGGTGCTGAAAGCCCGCACCCGGTTACCCCCATTGGGTCCCCGTTGGCCCAGGGGGCTGCATTGGCGCTGATTATTATGGGCTGCATCAGGGGGCGCCGCTGCGCTCTGAGCCCCCATTGGATGCTGCACAAGGGATGCAGGGATGGGGCTGGACCGGAGCTGGGGATGCTCTTCCTTGGGGTGGGAGCAGCCGGGGGTCAATGGGGACCGGACCCCCCCCCCCCCCCCAATCCCGGTTCGGGTTTAGGGGTCCCGGTTCCCCCCCTTCCGGTTCCCACCCGCTCCCCGTTTCCATCCCAGTTCCGTGGGCACCGGGGCCGCCTGGAGCCGCGGCGCCAGCGGGAGGAGGAGGAGGAGGAGGAGGAGGAGGGGCCGGGCCATGGCGCCGGTGCTGCCGCTGCTGCCGCCGGTGCTACCGGTACCGCCGGTGCTGCCCCCGCCCGGTGCTACCGGTACCGCCCGAGCGGGCTTTGTGACGTCACCGCTGGAGCGCGGGGGGGGACGGGGGGGGACGACGACGTCATCAGTGGGGAAAGTGACGTCAGGATCCGAATGAAGATCAGCATCAGCATCAGTATCGATCCGAATCAATATCAGCATCAGTATCGATCCCAATCAATATCAGCATCTGTATCAATCAGAATCAATATCAGTATCAATCAGAATATCAATCAGAATCAATATCAGTATCTGTATCAATATCAGCATCAATATCAATCAGAATCAATATCAGCATCAGTATCAATCAGAATCAATATCAATCAGAATCAGTATCAGCATCAATATCGACGTCAGCATCAGTGTCAATATCAGCATCAGTATCAATCCGAATCAATATCAGTTTTCCACCCCAAATCCACAGTTTTCCACCTAAAATCGATGTCCACATCAAATCAATATCAGCATCATTTTCAATCCGAATCATTTTCAGCATCAGATCCAATTTCAATCAGAATCAGTATCAGCCCAAATCCTCAGTCACCATCAGTTTCCAAATCCTCAATTTTCAATCCGAATCCTCAGTTTTCCACTCCAAATCCTCACTTTTCCATCCCAAATCCTCACTTTTCCATCCCAAATCCTCACTTTTCCACCCCAAATCCTCACTTTTCCACCCCAAATCCTCACTTTTCCACCCCAAATCCCCACTTTTCCACCCCAAATCCTCATCCATAGCTCCCAAATGCAGATTTTGGCACCAAAACCCCAACTTCCAGCCCCAATCCCTCCCTTTTGGACACAGCTCAGAGGCTCCAAGCTCCGGTTTTGGGGTAAAAACCCCCTCTTTGAGGACCAAAAACCTCATTTTCAGCCCCAAATCCGCCCATTTTAGGACACGAAGCCTTTTAATGCCCAATTCCTGCCTCCAAACCCCAGGTTTTGGGTCCAAAACCTCATTTTTAGGGTCCAAATCCTGCTCTTGGACCCCTGCATCCCCTTGACCTCCTTAGGCCCCCTATGGCCCCCACAGGCCCCTATAGAACCCCGTAGGTCCCCCAAGGACACCATAGGAACATAAGACCCTCCATGGCCCCATAGAACAAAACACCCCAAAATACACCGAAACACCCCAAAATAAACCAAAATACCCCCCAACACCCTGAAAGATCACAAAACACACCAAAAGACTCCAAAACACCCCAAAATAAAGCAAAAGACCCCAAAACACCCCAAAATAACCCAAAATACCCCAAAACACCCCAAAATAAACCAAAAGACCCCCAAATACCCCACAACACCCCAAAAGATCAAAAAACACCCAAAAGACCCCAAAAGACCCCAAACCACCCCCAAATAAACCAAAAGACCCCAAAATACCCCAAAACACCCCAAAATACCCCACAACACCCCGAAAGATCACAAAACACCCCAAAAAACCCACACATCCCAAAAGACTCCAAAATCCCCCAAATTACCCCAAAACACCCCCAAATACCCTCCCCCCGCCCCCCATATCCCTGGATGTCCCCCCCCTAACGGGGCCCCCCCCCCATGTCCTTGTCCCCCCTCCCCCCCCCGGTGACGCAATGCCCTTGGCCCTGGCCTTGGCCCCTCCCCATTGCCTTGGGTTCCCCCCCCCCGGTGGTGACGTGGGGTCCTCCCCCCCCCAAACCCTCCCTTTAACCCTTCTATAGGACACTATTGGGGACCCCCCATGTCCCCCCCCATAGGACCGTATTGGGGACACCCCCCGTCCCCCTTTAACCCTTCTATAGGACCCTATTGAGACCCCCCCCCATAACCTCCTATTGGGGACCCCCCCAAACCCCCCTTTAACCCTTCTATAGGACCCTATTGGGGACCCTATTGGGGCCCCCCCCAAAACCCCCCTTTACTCCTTCAATAGTACCCTATTGGGGACCCCTCCACGTCCCCCCCCACATCCCCCCTTTAACCCTTCTATAGGACCCTATTGGGGACCCTATTGGGGCCCCCTCCATAACCCCCTATTGCCCCCCCCCAAACGCCCCTTTAACCCTTCTATAGGACCCTACTGGGGACCCCTCCACGTCCTCCCCCACATCCCCTCTTTAATCCTTCTATAGGACCCTATTGGGGACCCTAATGGGGCCCCCCCATAACCCCCTATTGGGGCCCCCCCAAAACCCCCCTTTAACCCTTCTATAGGACCCTATTGAAGACCGCCCCCACATCCCCCCTTTAACCTTTCTATAGGACCCTATTGGGGATAACCCCCTATTGGGGCCCCCCCCAAACCTCCCTTTAACCCTTCTATAGGACCCTATTGGGACCCCCCCATGTCCCCCCTTTAACCCTTCTATAGGGCCCTACTGGGGCCCCCCCCATAACCCCCCCATAACCCCTTATTGGGAACCCCCGAAACCACCCTTTACCCCTTCTATAGCACCCTATTGAACCCCCCCCCCCAAACCCCCCCAAACCGCGTGTACAGGGGCAGATCTCGGGGGGGGGGCGGGTATTAGGATTAGAGGTGGGCGGAGCTTATTGTGGGCGTGTCTCTGGGGGTCCCCCCCCTATTTAACCCCCACGCACCCCTTTCCCCCCCTTCCCCCCCAATGGCGGCCCCGCTGCTGCCGCTGCTGCTGCTCCCGGCGCTGCTGGCGCTGGCGCTGGCGCTCGCCGGCCGCTGGGGGGCGCTGCAGCTCCTGCACCCGCAGGGGGCGCTGCACCTCGCTCGCCTCGCCCGCCGCAAGGGGGAGCCCGTCCTGCGCATGCGCCTCGGGGGCCGAGGTGAGCCCATTCAGCTTTATTATGGGGGGGGGACACCCCTAAACTGACCCCCCCACACACACCTCAATTCGACCCTTATGGAACCCATAGCCCATCCTCTTTTTGGGGTACCCCAGTTTTGGGGTCCCCCCCCTTTGGGTGCCACCCTTCATTTTGGGGTACCCCCCTTTTGGGTCCCCCCTTTTATTTAGGGTCTCCCCATTTGGGTCCCCCCTATTTTGGGGTCTCCTCCATTTGGGTCCCCACCTTTTAATTGTGGGTCTCCCCCCTTTGGGTCCCCCCCTTTATTTTGGGGTCTCCCCCATTTGGTTCCGCCCCCTTATTTCGGGGTCTCCCCCATTTGGGTGCCCCCCTTTATTTGGGGTCTCCACTATCTGGGTCTGTTTCCCCCCATCTTTGGGTCCCCCCTATTTTAACCACCTTCCCCCCCATTTTGAGGGTCCCAACCCCATTTTGGGTGTTTCCCCCCATTTCGGGTCTGTTTCCCCCTATTTTGGGTGTTTCCCCCTATTTTAACCCCTTCCCCCCCATTTTGGGGTCCTCCAACCCCATTTTGGGTCTGTTTCCCCCTATTTTGGGTCCATTTCCCCCCATTTTGGGTCCATTTCCTCCTATTTTGGGTCTGTTTCCCCCATTTTGGGTCTGATTCCCCCCATTTTGGGTCTGTTTCCCCCCTCATTTTGGGTCCCCCCTATTTTGGGTCCGTTTCCCCCTATTTCGGGTCTGTTTCCCCTATTTCGGGTCCATTTCCCCCCATTTCGGGTCTGTTTCCCTCTATTTTGGGTCCATTTCCCCCTATTTCGGGTCTGTTTCCCCTATTTCGGGTCCATTTCCCCCCATTTCGGGTCTGTTTCCCCCATTTTGGGTCCATTTCCCCCCATTTTGTGTCTGTTTCCCCCCTCATTTTGGGTCCCCCCTATTTTGGGTCCGTTTCCCCCTATTTCGGGTCTGTTTCCCATATTTCGGGTCCATTTCCCCCCATTTCGGGTCTGTTTCCCCCTATTTTGGGTCCATTTCCCCCCATTTTGGGTCTGTTTCCCCCCATTTTGGGTCCATTTCCCCCTATTTCGGGTCTGTTTCCCCCCATTTTGGGTCCATTTCCCCCTATTTCGGGTCTGTTTCCCCCCATTTTGGGTCCATTTCCCCATATTTCGGGTCTGTTTCCCCCCATTTCGGGTCTGTTTCCCCCCATTTTGGGTCTGTTTCCCCCTCTTTTGGGCCTGTTTCCCCCTATTTTGGGTCTGTTTCCCCCCATTTTGGGCCCATTTCCCCCTATTTTAGGTCTGTTTCCCCCCATCTTTGGGTCCCCCCTATTTTAACCCCTTCCCCCCATTTTGGGGTCCCACAACCCCATTTCGGGTCCGTTTCTTCCCATTTCGGGTCCATTTCCCCCTATTTCGGGTCTGTTTCCCCCCATTTCGGGTTCATTTCCCCCTATTTCGGGTCCATTTCCCCCATTTTGGGTCCATTTCCCCCTATTTCGGGTCTGTTTCCCCCCATTTCGGGTCCATTTCCCCCTATTTCGGGTCCATTTCCCCCATTTTGGGTCCATTTCCCCCTATTTCGGGTCTGTTTCCCCCCATTTTGGGTCCATTTCCCCCTATTTCGGGTCTGTTTCCCCCCATTTCGGGTCTCTCCCCCCTCATTTTGGGGTCCCCCCCCAGATGTGCTGGTGCTGAGCTCGGCCGACACCATCCGGGAGGCGCTGGCCCGGCACTGCGGGGATTGGCTGGGGCGGCCCCCGAGCTACCTGGGTAATGGGGGGCTATGGGGCTAATGGGGTTCTATGGGGCTGGGGGGGGGTCTATGGGGCTGGGGGTTTCTATAGGATTGGGGGGATCAATGAGGCTAGGGGGGGTCTATGGGGTCTATGGGGCTGGGAGGGGTCTATGGGGCTGCGGGGATCTATGGGGCTGGGGGAGTTCTATGGGGATGAGGGTGGTCTATGGGGCTGAGGGGGGTCTGTGGGGTCTATGTAGCTGGGAGGGGTCTATGGGGCTAATGGGGTTCTATGGGGCTGGGGGAGCTCTATGGGGCTGGGGGTGTCTATGGGGCTGGGGGGATCTATGGGGCTGGGGGGGTCTATGGGGCTGAGGGGGGTCTGTGGGACTGAGGGATCTGTGGAACTGGGGTGTCTATGGGGCTGGGGGTCTCTATGGGGTCTCTATGGGGTCTTGGGGGGTTCTCTTTATGGGTTCTCTCTATGGGTTCTCTATGGGTCTCTGTGTGTCCCTATGTATCTCTATGGGTCTCTATGGGGTCCCTATGGGGTCTCTATGGGTCTCTATGGGTCTCTATGGGGTCCCTATGGGTCTCTATGGGGTCCCTATGGGTCCCCTTTCCCCCCCAGCCCCGTTGGTGTCGCGGGGGGGCCGGGACCTGGCGCTCGGGGCCCCCACCCCCGCCTGGCGGCTGCAGCGCGGGGCCACGCGGGGGGCACTGGCGAGGGCGGGGCCACGGCTGGAGGCGGAGCTTCGGAAAAGGGGGCGTGGCCTGACGGAGGTGAGCGACAGCCACATAGAGACCTATAGAGACCTATAGAGCCCCATAGCGTCCCTATAGAGCCCCATAGAGACCGCATAGACCTCATAGAGACCCAAAAGGACCCATAGGGACACCATAGAGACCCCAAATATCCTCCATAGACCCCCTATTACCCCCCATAGACCCCCCAATACCCCTATAGACCCCCAAATAACCCCCATGGACCCCCAATTACCCCCATAGACCCAATACACCCCCCTTTCACCATAGAACCCCCTTTACCCCTCATAGACCCCCCATAGCCCCACTTTACCCCACATAGACCCCCTTTACCCCCTAGACCCCCCATAGCCCCCCATTACACCCCATAGACCCCCCATTACCCCCCATAGACCCCCCTATTACTCCCCATAGACGCCTCCATTGCCCCCATAGACCCCCAATTACCCCCCATAGACCCCCAATACACCCCCGTTTACCCCCCATAAACCCCCATTTACCCCCCATAGATCCCCCCATTGACCCCCCCATAACCCCCTTCCCCCCCCCCCAGGAGCTCCGTTCCCACGGGGGGGCCCCCTTGGACCCCTTCGAGGTCTTCGCCTTCCACACGTGCAGCACCATCGGGGGCCTCATCTTTGGGGACCTGGTAACGGGGGGGGGACCCCAACATTGGGGGGACCCAAAATGGGGGGGAGAAAACCCCAACATTGGGGGGGGGCAACTCCAACAGTGGGGGAAACCCCAACATTGGGGGGGACCCAAAAAGGGGGGCACCCCAACACTGGGGGGGACCCTAAATTGGGGGGAGAGAACCCAAATATTGGAGGGGACCCCAACATTGGGGGGGACCATAAATGGGGGGGAGCCTCACATTGGGGAGGGATCCAAAATGAGGGTGACCCCAACATTGGGGGGTGGCCCAAAATGGGGGGGAGAGAACCCCAAAATTGGGGGAGGACCCTAACATTGGGGGGGAGCCCCACAATGGGGGGGAGCCAAAATGGGGGGGGACCCAACATTGGGGGGGACCCTAAATTGGGGGGGGACCCCAATGGGGGGGTGAGGGAAGAACCCCAACGTTGAGGGGGGACCCAAAATGGGGTGACCCCAACATTGGGGGAGGGGAGCCCTTAATGGGGGGACCCCAACACGGGGGGGGGGAGGGGTGAGTTTGGGGGTTCCCTCCCCTCCCCTCCCCCCCAGCTGCCCCCCGAGGCCGAGGTCCGCGCCTTCAGCGGCTGCGTCCTGGAGCTGCTGCGGCTGTGGGGGAGGGGCTCGCTGCGGGCGCTGGAGCTGGTGCCGGAGCTGAGGGTGAGGGGGGATGGGGGGGGGGATGGGGGGGGGGAGGGGGGAATCTATGGGGCTGGGGGGGATGTGGAGCTAGGGGGGTCTCTATGCATCCCAGGGAGTCTCTATGGGTCCCATTGGGGTCTACTATGGGTCCCTATGGGTCCCATTGGGGTCTCTATAGGTCCCATTGTGGTCTCTATGGGTCTCTATGGGTCCTTATGGGTCCCTATGGGTCCCATTGGGGTCCCTATGGGTCCTATTGGAGTCTCCATGGGTCTCTGTGGGTCCCTATGGGTCCCATTGGGGGCTCTATTGGTTCCATTGGGGTCCCTATGGGTCCCATTGGGGTCTCTATGGGGTCCCTATGGGTCTCTATGGGTCCCTATGGGTCTCATTGGGGTCCCCATGGGTCTCTATGGGTCCCATTGGGGTCCCTATGGGTCTCTATGGGTCCCTATGGGTCCCATTGGGGTCTCTATGGGGTCTCTATGGGTCTCTCTGGGGTCTCTATGGTCTCTCTATGGGTCCCTATGGGTCCCATTGGGGTCCCATTGGGGTCTCTATGGGGTCCCTATGGGTCTCTATGGGTCCCATTGGGGTCTCTATGGGTCTCTCTGGGGTCTCTATGGTCTCTCTATGGGTCCCTATGGGTCCCATTGGGGTCTCCCTCGCTGGGTCCCTCCCCAGGTCCTGCCCCAGCCGGGGCTCCGGAAGCTGCTGGAGCTCGTGGAGCTGCGGGACGCCTTTGTGGGGGCCCAGATCCGGAAGCACGAGGTGGGGGAGGGATCCCAATGTCCAGGGGGGGGGACCCCAATGTCTATGGATGGGACCCCGATGTCCGTGGATGGGACCCCAATGTCTATGGATGGGACCCCGATGTCTATGGATGGGACCCCGATGTCTATGGGGGGGGACCCAATGTCCATGGGGGGAAACCCAATGTCTATGGATGGGACCCCAATGTCTAGGGGGGAACCCCAATGCCTATGGATGGCGCCCCAATGTCTATGCGGGGGAACCCGATGTCTATGGGGGTGACCCCGATGTCTATGCGGGGACCCCAATGTCTATGGATGGGACCCCAATGTCTATGGGGGAACCCCAATGCCTATGGATGGGACCCCAATGTCTATGGATGGGACCCCAATGTCCACGGGGGTCCCCAATGCCCTTGGCCCCCATTGACCCCCCTGTGCCCCCCCCAGGAGTGCCCCTCCCCCCCCCGGGACACGGTGCTGGGGGCGCTGCGGGACCCCTCGCGGCCGGGCCCCCCCCTGAGCCCCCCCCGCCTGCACATGGCCCTCGTTGACCTCTTCATCGGCGGCACCGAGACCACGGCCGCAGCCCTGGCCTGGGCCATCGCCTTCCTGCTGCACCGGCCCGAGGTACCGGGGACACTGCCCGGCCATGGCCACCAGTGCCCATTCATGGCCATGGCCATCTGTGTCCATCCATACCCATCCATGTCCATCAGTGGCCATCCATATCCATGTCCATCCATGTCCATCAGTGCCCTTGCCCAACCCTGTCCATCTATGTCCATCCATGTCCATCCATATCCATGTCCATCAGTGCCCTTGTCCATCCGTGTCCATCTGTGTCCATCCATGTCCATCCATGGCCACCAGTGCCCTTGTCCATCCCTGTCCATCTGTGTCCATCAGTGTCCATTCGTGTCCCATTCATGGCCATGGCCATCCATGTCCATCTGTGTCCATCCCTGTCCATTCCTGTCCATCAGTGTCCATCTGTGTCCATCAGTGTCCATCTGTGTCTGTGTCTATCCATATCCATGTCCATCCATGGCCACCAGTGCCCTTGTCCATCCCTGTCCATCTGTGTCCATCAGTGTCCATTCGTGTCCCATTCATGTCCATCCATGTCCGTGTCCATCCATGTCCATCAGTGCCCTTGTCCATCCCTGTCCCATCTGTGTCTATCCATATCCATGTCCATCCATGGCCACCAGTGCCCTTGTCCATCCCTGTCCCATCCATGTCCATCCATATCCATGTCCATCCATGGCCACCAGTGCCCTTGTCCATCCCTGTCCCATCCATGTCCATCCATGTCCATGTCCATCAGTGCCCTTGTCCATCCGTGTCCCATCCGTGTCCATCTGTGTCCATCCATGTCCATGTCCATCCATGTCCATCTATTTCCATCCATGTCCCTCCATATCCATGTCCATCTGTGTCTATCCATGTCCATGTCCACCCGTGTCCATCAGTGTCCATGTCCCACCCATGTCCATCCATGTCCCATCTGTGTCCATCCTTGTCCCATCCATGTCCATGTCCCATCCATCTCCACCCATGTCCATCCTTGTCCCATCCATGTCCATGTCCCATCCATCTCCACCCATGTCCATCAATGTCCATCCATATCCATATCCATCCATTCTACACACCTGTATCACACACGTACCACATGTGTAACACATAACACACATGCATCATGCATGTACCACATACGTAACACATATGCATCACACATGTACAAGCATGTAACACACCTGTAGCACATCCGCATCACACATGTACCATGTATGTAACACACATGCATCACATGTGTAACACAAATGTAACACACATGTACATGTGATTAACGCATGTATCACACATATAACGCACCTGTACCACATATGCATCACACATGTACCATGCATGTAACACACATATCACACGTGCAACACACATGTACCATGTATGTAATGCAGCTGTATCACATATGTAACACACCTGTACCACGTATGCATCACACATGTACCATGTATGTAACACACCTGTATCACGTGTACCACGTATGTAACACGTCTGTAATCACACCTGTACCACGTGTGCACCACCCCCATCCCCTTCCAGCTGCAGGAGCGGCTCCGCTCCGAGCTCCGCCGGGAGCTCCCCCCGGGGGCTCTGCCCCAGGCCTCGGACTCGCGGCGCCTCCCCCTGCTCCAGGCCGTGGTCACCGAGACCCTGCGGCTGCGGCCCCCGGCCCCGCTGGCTCTGCCCCACTGCGCCCAGCGCCGCACCAGGTACCGGGGAGCCAGGGCTCGGCAGCGCCCCCTGCCCGCGGCCCCGCTCCCTGCACCCCGGACCCGCTCTCAGCAGCGCCCCCCCTGCCCGCTCCTGTCCCTGCACCCCCAGACCCGCTCTCAGCAGCGCCCCCTGCCCATTCCCTGTCCCTGCACCCCCAAACCCGCTCTCAGCAGCGCCCCCTGCCCGCGGCCCCGCTCCCTGCACCCCGGACCCGCTCTCAGCAGCGCCCCCTGCCCGCGGCCTCGCTCCCTGCACCCCGGACCCGCTCTCAGCAGCGCCCCCTGCCCATTCCCTGTCCCTGCACCCCCAAACCCGCTCTCAGCAGCGCCCCCTGCCGCGGCCCCGCTCCCTGCACCCCGGACCCGCTCTCAGCAGCGCCCCCTGCCCATTCCCTGTCCCTGTACCCCCGGACCCGCTCTCAGCAGCGCCCCCTGCCCGCGGCCCCGCTCCCTGCACCCCCAAACCCGCTCTCAGCAGCGCCCCCGCTCCCTGCACCCCCAAACCCGCTCTCAGCAGCGCCCCCCCCCGCCCATTCCCTGTCCCTGCAGCCTGGGGCCGCTCTCGGTGCCCGCCGGCTCCATCCTGGTCCCCAACCTCTTGGCCGCGCATCAGGACCCCGAGCTCTGGCATCACCCCGAGGAGTTCCTGCCCGGTACGGATGGGATGGGGGGGGGGGCCCTGAATCCCATTGGGATCCCTGAATCCCATTGGGTTCCCCTCTCTAATGTTGGGGTCCCCTGAACCCATTGGGGTCCCCTGAATCCCATTGGGGTTCCCTCTCTAATGTTGGGGGCCCTTCAACCCCTACGGTGCCCTCCCTGATATTGGGGTTCCCTGAACCCATTGGGGTCCCCTGAAACCCTTGGTGTAGGTCGCTCCCCCTCCCCCCCAGATCCTTTCAACCCATTGGGGTCCCTTCAACCCCTTGGGGTCCCCAAAACCCCTTGGTGTGGGTCCTCCCCAGATCACCTCAACCCAATGGGGTCCCTTTAGCTCCTCGGGATCCCTTCAAGCCATTGGGGTCCCTTTAACCCCTTGGGGTCCCCTGAACCCTTGGGGACCCCTCTCTAATGTTGGGGTCCCCCCAACCCATTGGGGTCCCCTCAAGTCATTGGGGTCCCTTTAACCCCTTGAGGTCCTCTACTTGATGCTGGGGTCCCCTCAACCCCTTCGGGTCCCTTTCCCCCTTGGTTTCCCTTTAACCCAATGGGGTCCCTTTACCCCAATGGGGTCCCTTTAACCCCTTGGTTTCCCTTTAACCCCTTGGGGTCCCTTTAACCCCATTGGGGTCCCTTTCCCCCCTCTCTGACCCTCCCCTCCCCTCCCCTCCCCTCCCCTCTCCCCCCCCCAGAGCGGTTCCTGGCCCCGGGGGCCCCGCTTCGGGCGCTGCTCCCGTTCGGGTGCGGGGCGCGCTCGTGTCCGGGGGCGGCGCTGGCCCGGGCCGAGCTCTTCGTGTTCCTGGGCCGGATCCTGCGGGAATTCCGCCTGGAGCCGCCGGCGCCGGGGCTGCTCCCCTCGCTGCGGGTGCGCGCCGGGACCGTGCTGCGCTGCCCGCCCTTCCGCGTGCGCCTGCGGCCCTGCCAGGACCTGGACTGAGCCTGACTGCACCCTGAGCCCTGCCAGGACCCGGACTGAGCCTGCCTGTACCCAGCCACCTGCCTGTACCCTGTGCCCTGCCAGGACCTGGCCTGAGCCCTGCCTGTGTCCTGAGCCCTGCTTGCACCCAGCCCCCTGCCTGTGCCCTGCCAGGACCTGGCCTGAGCCTGCCTGCACCCAGCCCCCTGCCTGTACCCTGAGCCCTGCCAGGACCTGTCCTGACCCTGCCTGTACCCAGCCTGTGCCCTGTGCCCTGCCAGGACCCGGCCTGAGCCCTGCCAGCACCCAGCACCCTGCCTATACCCTGAGCCCTGCCTGTGCCCGGCCAGGACCTGGCCTGACCCTGCCTGTACCCAGCACCCTGCCTGTGCCCTGAGCCCTGCCAGGACCCGGCCTGAGCCCTCCTGAGCCCGCCTGTGCCCTGCCAGGATCCGGCCTGAGCCCTGAACCCTGCCTGTGCCTTGAGCCCTGCTTGCACCCAGCACCTTTCACCCTGCCTATGCCCCACCAGGACCCGGCCTGACCCTACCTGTGCCCTGCCAGGACCTGGCCTGAGCCCTGCCTGCCCCCGATGCCCCCCCCCATCCCGCCCCGCACCAGACTCGGTTCCAGCCGTGTTTATTGCGGGCACCCCCCCCATATAAAAGCTTCATCTCAGATCCTGGGGTGATCCCATGGGGTCCTATAGGGATGGAGGCACCCATGGGGCTGGGGTGATCCCAGGGGGTCCTATGGGGATGGAGGCACCCATGGAGCTGGCGTGATCCTATGGGGTCCTATAGGGATGGAGGCACCCATGGGGTCCTATAGGGATGGGGTGATCCCATAGGGTCCTAGGGCTCCGGGGGCAGGCACGGCTCCGGGGGCAGGCGCAGCTCCTGGGCCAGGCAGGGCTGCAGCTCCCGCAGGGCCCGCAGGAAGCAGCCGTGGCCGCGGGGGCCCCAGCCCGGGGCCGTGTCCAGGAGCCGCCGCATCCGCTCCTGCGGGGTCTCCCCGGCGGCCACCGCGGCCGCGGCCTCGGCGCTGAGCGCGCCCCGGGCCTGGAGCCGGTCCAGGAGCGGCGCCACCGCCCGCACCCCCTGCACCAGCGCCGCGCGGTGCCGCTGCACCCACCCGGAAGTGACGTCAGAGGGGACGTCGGTGGTGACGTCATCGGCGGGGAGGGGAGGGGCTGCGAAGGGGGAAGGAGAAGGGGGTGAGGGGGTGCTGGTCAGTGGGGGGGGGGAGGTACCTGGACACTTGGGGTGATGCTTCCCGACAGGGCACATCCCAACACATCCCAACACAATGCATCCCAATGCAACACATCCCAACCCATCACATCACATCCCCATCCCAGCACATCCCATCCCAACACATCCCAACACAATGCATCCCATCCCAACACATCCCATCCTAACACATCCCAACTCATCCTAACATCCCATCCCATCCCAACACATCCCAACACAATGCATCCCATCCCAACCCATCCCATCCATCCCATCTCATCCCAACCCATCCCATCTATCCCATCCATCTCATCCCTTCCCAACCCAACCATCTGCACTGCTCTTCCCATCTCATCCCTTCCCAAGCCATCCCAACCGTTTGCACTATGCTTCCGATGCAATCCCAAACCTTCTCAACTCCACCACATGCCTTCCCATCCCATCCATCCCAACACAACCCATCCCATCCCATCCATCCTAACTCATCCCTTCCCAACCCATCCCTTCCCATCCCATCCTATCCATCCCAACCCAACCCATCCCATCCATCCTAACCATCCTAACCCATCCCTTCCCAACCCATTCCATCCATCGCAACCCATCCCATCCATCCCTTCTCAACCCAACGCATCCCATCCATCCCATCCCATCCATCCTAACCCATCCCTTCCCAACCCATCCCATCCACCCCAAACTGTCCCATCAATCCCAACCCTTCCCATCCATCCTAACCCATCCGTTCCCAACCCATCCTATCCATCCCAACCCAACCCATCCCTTCCCAACCCATTCCATCCATCCCAACCCATCCCATTCATCCTAACCGATCCCTTCCCATCCCATCCTATCCATCCCAACTCAACCCAACCCATCCCATCCCATCCATCCCTTCTCAACCCAACCCAACCCATCCCACCCCACCCCACCCCCCCTCTCACCACCATCCCCCAGCAGCCACTCCTCCAGGTCCCTCCTCTCGATGCTCCTCAGCGCCTGCCCCACCACCGTCACCCCATAGCGCTCCCCATAGTGCCCGAGGACGAGGTCGGTGAGGTCGAGCGCGTCGGCCGCCTCCATCCTGCCTCGGGGCACGGGCCGGTACCCGCCGGCCACCGGGCCCCGGTTCAGCGCCGCCTTCACGCGCCGCAGCTCCAGCGCCGGCAGCTCCTCCAGCACCCGCAGGATGCGCTCCCGGCCCCCCGCTAGGGGGGGACCCCACAGAGCATCCCTGCTGCTGCTGCTGCTGGAGGCCATGGGGGCAATGGGGCAGGAAGGAAATGGGGGTGATGGGAGGGGAAATGTGGGGCCCGAGGCAGCGCCTGCGCTGATGCCATTGGGGAGGTGACGGAGGGGGGAAATGGGGCTCCTGGCTGCGATGGGGCAGGGATGGGGCCAGTACCTGCAGTGGAGCAGGGATGGGGGCTCCTGCCTGCAGTGGGGCAGTGATGGGGGCTCCTGCCTGCAGTGGGGCAGGGATGGGGGCTCCTGCCTGCAGTGGGGCAGGGATGGGGGCTCCTGCCTGCAGTGGGGCAGGGGTGAGGCCAGTACCTGCAGTGGGGCAGGGATGGGGGCTCCTGCCTGCAATGGGGCAGGGATGGGGCCAGTACCCGCAATGGGGCAGGGATGGGGGCTCCCGCCTGTAATGGGGCAGGGATGGGGGGTCCTGCCTGCAATGGGGCAGGGATGGGGGCTCCCGCCTGCAATGGGGCAGGGATGGGGGGTCCTGCCTGCAGTGGGGCAGGGATGGGGGCTCCCGCCTGCAATGGGGCAGGGATGGGGGCTCCTGCCTGCAGTGGGGCAGAGATGGGGGCTCCTGCCTGCAATGGGGCAGGGATGGGGGGTCCTGCCTGCAGTGGGGCAGGGATGGGGGCTCCGGGTCCCCCCGTCTCGGCCCCAAACCGGGCCCGCTGCCCTCACCGGACGCGCCGGCAGCGGCGCCACCTGCGCCTAAAGAACCCGCGCCCCGCTCCTAATATGGACATCGCCCCGCCCTCCAGCTCCTTGTATAGGCATGGCCCCGCCCCTAAAGCCGCAGGCCACGCCCCCCTCGCCCAGGCAGCCCCGGGTCCTAGCGCCCGCCCGCTAGTCCCCCGCCGTGGGACAGGGATTTTGGGGGCAAAGCAAGCGCGTTCCGGAGCTCTGAGTGTGCCCCCCACGTCCCCATCGCGCCCCCCAAGTCCCCATCGTGCCCCCCATGTCCCCATCGTGCCCCCCATGTCTTTGCTATGGGTCCCATATCCCCATAGTGCCCCCCATGTAGTGCTATGGGGGGGGGGGCTCTCCCAACACAACTTCCACCTGAACAAGAGGGGGGGGACACGGACCAAGGACCCCCCCCAACCACCCCCCGGTCTCCTTCTTGGCCCCTCCTTAAGGACCCCCATAAACCGCCCCCCCACGTTAGGAACCCCTTTAGGACCCCCCTTTGGGACCTGAACCCCCTTAAAGCCCCCCCTAGGGACCCTCTTGCCCCCCCCCCCCCCCCATCTCCTTCCTCCCGGGGTTTTCCCATCGGATTCCCGGTGGGACACAAAGGGGGGGGCACCGGGGGGGGGTTGCGCAAACCTGCGTCACCTTGAGCCCGCTGTTGGGCAATGGGACCCCCCCCCGTGTGTGTGCTTGGGGCTGGGACCCCCCCATTGACCCCCATAATGGGGGGGGAAAGGGGGCGCTGGTGGCTTTCTCCCCCCCAAACCCGTTCCATAGGGGTTCAATGGGGGGGGGGGGAAATGGGTCCGTTCCAATGGGGGGTTCCCCCCCCCATTGCCCTGGGCTGAGTCACGGGGTGGGGCAGGGCCTAAAATGGGGCAAAAACCGCAAAAATGCGGCTGCTTCCCCTTGCTTGGGGGGGGGGGAACGGGGCCGTCAATGGGGGGGCGTTCGCTATGGGGGGGGACAAACAGGACCCCTATGGGGGGGACAGGGGTTGCTATGGGGCCATGCTTGGGGCTGCGGGGGGGCCCCGCTCGTGGCCGTGTTTTGGGGTGGCGCACGCGCCGCCCCCCATGTCCCATCCTGTCCCCAACCCCCCCCCCCGGGCCCCCCCATCCCGCCCCACCCCGTGACTCAGGCCCCGGCTCTTCATAAGCTGGGAGCCGGTTCCAGCCCCACAGCGGCGGCTCCAGCCCCACAGCGCCCGCCCCATGGCTGCCTTCAGCCTCCTCCTCCTCCTCTTCCTCCTCCTCGGCGCTACCGGTGAGTCCCGGCCTGAGCCCGTTCCCTTCCGGGGTACCCGCGCCCCGTTCCCGAGCTCCGTGGGTCCCTTCCCTTAAGGCCTGGGTCCTATTTGGGTGCCCCGGGTCCCCATTTGGGTGCCCCGGTCCCCACTTAGGTGCCCCGGTCCCTATTTGGGTGCTGTGGTCCCTGTTTGGGTGCCTGGATCGCATTTGGGTACCCTGGTCCCTATTTGGGTGCCCCGGTCCTAATTTGGGTGCCCGGGTCCCCATTTGAGTGCCTCGGTCCCCGTTTGGGTGCCTCGGTCCCTATTTGGGTGCCTGGATCCCATTTGAGTGCCTGGATCCCTATTTGGGTACCCCCAGTCCTCATTTGGGTGCTCCGGTCCCCGTTTGGGTGCTTCGGTCCCCATTTGGGTGCCCGGATCCCTATTTGGGTACCCTGGTCCCATTTGGGTGCCTGGATCCCATTTTGGTGCCCCGGGTCCCTATTTGGGTGCTCCGGTCCCTATTTGGGTGCCCCGGTCCCCGTTTGGGTGCCCCAGTTCCAATTTGGGTGCCCCGAGTCCCCATTTGAGTGCCTTGATCCCCGTTTGGGTGCCTGGATCCCATTTGAGTGCCCCGGTCCCTATTTGGGTGCCCGCGATCCCCGTTTGGGTGCCCAGGGTTCCTATTTGGGTACCCCAGTCCCTATTTAGATGCCCCGATCCCGTCTGGGTGCCCGGGTCCCCATTTGAGTGCCCCGATCCCCGTTTGGGTGCCCCGATCCCATCCCCACCACTGGGGCCGCTTCCCAAAGGGAATTCCCGGCTCCCCTTCCCCATCTCCCGGCTCCCTTGGGCTCTGTTTTGGGTCCCCTTCCTGGATACGGGGCTCCCCACCCCGGATGTGTGGGTCACACCCCTGGGTCCCTGCCCCACATCCGGGTCCCGTCCCCGCCCCGTGTTTCCCCCCCTCCCCCCCGGCTCTCTTTGGTCTCCTCCCCATCACTGGGCTCCAAACCCCATGGGGCCGGAGTGGGGGGTCCCCCCCATTGACCCCCATTCTGTGCCCCCATTGACCGCCATTGTGCCCCCCCATTGACCCCCGCTGTCCCCCTCCATTGCTCCCCCCATTGGCCCCCGTTGTGCCCCCGATTGACCGCCGTTGTTCCCCCCATTGATCCCCGTTGTGCCCGCATTGATCCCCGTTGTGCCCCCCGTTGTGCCCCCGATTGGCCCCCGTTGTCCCTCTCCATTGCCCCCCATTGACCCCCGTTCTGTGTCCCCCCATTGACCCCCATTGCCCCTGCCATTGACCCCCATTCTGTGCCCCCCATTGACCGCCATTGTGCCCCCCTTGTGTCCCCCATTGCCCCCCGCTGTCCCCCTCCATTGCGCCCTCCATTGACCCCCATTCTGTGCCCCCCCATTGACCGCCATTGTGCCCCCCGTTGTGTCCCCCCATTGCCCCCCGCTGTCCCCCTCCATTGCGCCCCCCATTGACCCCCATTCTGTGCCCCCCCCATGACAGTGGTGGCGCCGGAGCCCCCCCAGGGTCTGGTACAGGAGAGCCTGGAGCTGCAGCTCCCCCCCATCCAACAGCGTGAGGATGGGACATGGGAATGGGGGGGGGGGGAGGGGCCATGGATAAGGGGGGGATGGGGACATGGATGGGGGGGGGCAACCCCTTGGGATGGGGACATGGATACAGGGAACCCCTTGGGATGGGGACATGGATACAGGGAACCCCTTGGGATGGGGACCATGGATACAGGGAACCCCTTGGGATGGGGACATGGATACAGGGAACCCCTTGGGATGGGGACCATGGATACAGGGAACCCCTGGGGATGGGGACCATGGATACAGGGAACCCATTGGGATGGGGACCATGGATACAGGGAACCCCTTGGGATAGGGACCATGGATACAGGGAACCCCTTGGGATGGGGACCATGGATACAGGGAACCCCTTGGGATAGGGACCATGGATACAGGGAACCCCTTGGGATGGGGACCATGGATACAGGGAACCCCTTGGGATGGGGACATGGATACAGGGAACCCCTTGGGATGGGGACCATGGATACAGGGAACCCCTTGGGATGGGGACCATGGATACAGGGAACCCATTGGGATGGGGACCATGGATACAGGGAACCCCTTGGGATAGGGACCATGGATACAGGGAACCCCTTGGGATGGGGACCATGGATACAGGGAACCCCTTGGGATAGGGACCATGGATACAGGGAACCCCTTGGGATGGGGACCATGGATACAGGGAACCCCTTGGGATGGGGACATGGATACAGGGAACCCCTTGGGATGGGTACCATGGATAAAGGGAACCCCTTGGGATGGGTACTATGGTTGGGGGGACATGGATAATGGAGGTGGGGGGGGCAGCACCTTGGGATGAGGACCTGGATACAGGGAACCCCTTGGGATGAGGACACAGATGGGGGGGACATGGATGGGGGGATGTGGATAATGGAGGGGGGCAACCCCTTGGGATGAGGACATGGATAAAGGGAACCCCTTGGGATAGGGACCACGTATGGAGGGGGACATGGATAATGGAAAGGGGGGGGGGCAGCACCTTGGGATGGAGACCCGGATACAGGGAACCCCTTGGGATGGGGCCATGGATGGGGGGGCCATGGATGGGGTCAAGGCGCTGCTGCGGACACAGGGCCCGATCCTGCCCCATTCCCCCCCCCAGTGCTGCAGGACCCGGCCCCCCCTCCCCTCCCGGCCTCCTCCGCCCCCGCCACCCCCTGGGGTCCCCGCTCCGTGCCCGGTTTCCCCCCTCCGTGGCCCGAAGCCGCCGCCGTGACCCGGATGTGCCGGGACCGCCCCCCCCAGCCCTCGGCTCCGCCGCTGCCCCCGAGCTCCTTCGGGCATCTCCGGCGCCAGGCGGCGGCGCTCGGGGCGCTCGGAACCCGCCTGGATTCGTGCTGCGGCCGCGATGCTCCCGTGCCCTGCGCCCGGCGCGAGGTGAGCGGGGACCGGAAGGCACCGGTTACCGGTACCGATGGACCCGGATGGGGGGGGACCGGAAGGGGGGGGGGGTGCTGACCCTAACCCTAACCCTAACCCTGTACCGATGGACCCGGATGGAGGGGAACCGGAAGGGGCGGGTGCTGACCCTAACCCAAACCCGGTACCGATGGACCCGGATGGAGGGGAACCGGAAGGGAGGGGGTGCTGACCCTAACCCTAACCCGGTACCGATGGACCCGGATGGAGGGGGACCGGAAGGGGGGGGGTGCTGACCCTAACCCGGTACCGATGGACCCGGATGGAGGGGGACCGGAAGGGGGGGGGGTGGTGCTGACCCTGACCCTAACCCTAACGCGGTACCGATGGACCCGGATGGAGGGAAACCGGAAGGGGCGGGTGCTGACCCTAACCCTAACCCGGTACCGATGGACCCGGATGGAGGGGGACCGGAAGGGGCGGGTGCTGACCCTAACCCTAACCCTAACCCGGTACCGATGGACCCGGATAGAGGGGAACCGGAAGGGGCGGGTGCTGACCCTAACCCGGTACCGATGGACCCGGATGGAGGGGGACCGGAAGGGGCGGGTGCTGACCCTAACCCTAACCCTAACCCGGTACCGATGGACCCGGAAGGGGCGGGTGCTGACCCTAACCCTAACCCGGTACCGATGGACCCGGATGGAGGGGGACCGGAAGGGGCGGGTGCTGACCCTAACCCGGTACCGATGGACCCGGATGGAGGGGAACCGGAAGGGGCGGGTGCTGACCGCTCTCTGCCCGCAGTGGGCCGCGGTGCTGGACGCGTTTTGCTCGGAGGAGTTCGCGGTGAAGACGCGGCCGTTCCATTGCTGCCGCCTGCGCGGCGCGCACCGGAGGCGCTGCTTCAGCGAGGCCGCCGATGCCCAGACCCGGTCCCAAGGGAGCCCCGGGGTCCCGTTCCCCCCCGGGGAACCCACGGCCGCCAACATGGGCAACATCTGCGCGCTGCGGGGGCTGCGGCCCGGCCCCACCGGCACCCCCGGGCCCCTGGCTCGGTTCCAGCTGCGCCTCGAGAGGGAGTTCGGGCGCTGCTGCCGCAACGGGAGCGTGGAGTGCGCGCATGAGGCGGTGAGAGGGGGGGGATGGGGGGGGCGGGATGGGGGTGCTCTGGTACCCGGAATGGGGTGCAGGGATGCAGGAATGATGCAGGAGTGCACACAGGGATGGGGATACCCTGGTACCTAGAATGGGGTTCAGGGATGCAGGAATGACGCAGGAGCGCACACAGGGATGTGGGATGGGGGCACCCTGGTACCTAGAATGGGGTTCAGGGATGCAGGAATGATGCAGGAGTGCACACAGGGATGGGGGTACCCTGGTACCTAGAAGAGGGACAGGGATGCAGAAATGATGCAGGAGTGCACACAGGGATGTGGGTATCCTGGTACCTAGAATAGGGGCCAGGGATGCAGGAGCGCACACAGGGATATGGGATGGGGGCACCCTGGTACCTAGAACAGGGGCAAGGATGCAGGAATGATGCAGGAGCAGACACAGAGGGATGTGGATGGGGGTACCCTGGGGTCTGGAATAGGGGCCAGGGATGGATGAGGATGGGGGTACCCAGAATACGGGGGCAGACCCATGGCTGGGGGGGACCCGAGCATCCCTGGGTACCAGGAGGGGGCCGGGAATGGCCCCAGTCCCAGTCCCGGTCCCATCCGCGCCGCTCCCGCAGTGGCGCTCGGGGCTGGAGCGGCTCTGCCGGCAGGAGGCGGGCTCGGGGCTCCGGCAGCGGCGCTGCTGTGGGCAGGGCTCGGCCCCCGCTCGGCTCCGCTGCTTCGCGGCCTCGGCCCCGCACCCGCGCTACGATCGGGAGCTGCACAACGTGAGCCTGGGCCGGGCCGGGCCCCAGCTGCTGCGGGCGCTCTGCGGCCCCGCCAGGCTGCTCAGCAAGAGGTGGGCACCGGGACCACGCCTCCCATTGGGGATCCCCATCCCATCCCTGCCCCCATCCCATTGGAGATCCCATCCCATCCCTGATACCATCCCCATCAGTGATCCCATCCCATCAGTGATCCCAATTCCCATCAGTTATCTCCATCCCATTGATGATCCCATCCTAGCCCACATCCCATTGGAGATCCCATCCCTGCCCCCATCCCATTGGAGATCCCATCCCCATTATTGCCAACATCCCATTGGAGATCCCATCCCATCCCTGATACCATCCCCATCAGTGATCCCAATCCCCATCAGTGATCTCCATCCCATTGATGATCCCATCCTAGCCCACATCCCATTGGAGATCCCATCCCATCAGTGATCCCATCCCTGCCCGCATCCCCTTAGTGCCCCCATCCCGTTCATACTCTTATAACCATTGGTGCAACATCCCATCAGTTATCTCATCCCATCCCTCCCCACCCACATCCCATTGGTCCCCCTCCCATCCCATCTGTTCCCCACATCCCATTGCTCCCTCCCATCCCTCCCCCCCATCCCATTGCTCCCCCCCATATCCCATCATTCCCCCCCACATCCTACCCCTCCCCCCCATCCCATCACTCCCCCCATATCCCATCCCTGCCCCCATATCCCACTGCTCTCCCCCATATCCCATCACTCCCCCCATATCCCACCGCTCCCCCCATCCCACAGGCGCCCAATCCCAGAGCTCCTGGGGGCCATCACCTCCTGCTGCCCTCGCCCCCCCCAGGAGCAGCGGGCCTGCACCGAGGAGCAGGTGAGTTCCCTATGGGGCAGCCCCCCCATATCCCCCCCATACCCCCCCCCTGCACTCACCATGGTCCCTCCCACAGCTCACCCAGGCCATCGCCACCCTCTGCAGCACCCATGGGCAGGGGGGGGGCTGGAAGGACCCAAAGCGCTGCTGCGCGGGGGGGGACGCGGCCGCCCGGCGCCGCTGCTTCGACTCTGCCTACCTGGAGGGGGTGCCCATGGGGCTGGCCGTGCCCCCCCCACCCCATGGGCATGAGGAGTGAACCCCCCCCACCCCCAAGATGGGGACAATAAAGGTGCTGTGCCCCCAGCCCACACAGCTGCGTCTGTGTTGCTATGGGGTGCATGGGGGTCAATGGGCATCCGTGTCCCTATGGGGTGCATGGGAGTCAATGGGCATCCCTGTCCTTATGGGTCCCCCTGTGCTCTAGGAGAAACCGCATTCCCAATTGGATCATTCGCATCCCACTGGGACCATTCACATCCCACCGGGATCATTCCCATTCCCACCGGGATCATTCGCATCCCACCAGGATCATACACATCCCAACTGGGACCATTCACATTCCGACGGGGATCATTCATATTCCCAATGGGGTCATTTGCATTCTCACTGGGACCATTTGTATCCCAACTGGGATCATTCTTATCCCACTGGGAGCATTCACATCCCAATGGAATCATTCACGTTCCCACCGGGAACATTCACATCCCAATGGAATCATTCATGTTCCCACTGGGACCACTCACATCCCAATGGAATCTTTCACGTTCCCACCAGGACCATTCATGTTCCCAAAGGAATCATTCTCATTCCCACTGGGACCATTTGCATCCCACCAGGATCATTCGCATCCCAACTGGGACCATTCACATTCCCACGGGGATCATTCATATTCCCAATGGGATCACTTGCATTCTCACCAGGACCATTCTTATCCAACTGGGACCATTCACATCCCAATGGAATCATTCACATCCCAAAGGAATCATTCACGGTCCCACCGGGACCATTCGGGTCCCCAAAGAAATCACCCACATTCCCACTGGGACCATTCACATCCCAATGGAATCACATTCCCAAAGGAATCACCCACATTCCCACTGGGACCATTCACATCCCAATGGAATCATTCACACTCCCACTGGGACCATTCGCCTTCCCAAAGGAACCACTCGCCTTCCCACCTGGACCATTCGTATCCCAATGGAATCACATTCCCAAAGGAATCACTCCCATTCTCACTGGGACCATTCACATCCCAATCGAATCACATTCCCACTGGAATCACCCCCATTCCCACCAGGACCATTCACATCCCAATGGAATCACATTCCCAAAGGAATCACTCCCATTCCCAATGGAATCACCCACATTCCCACCTGCACCATTCACATCCCAATGGAATCACCCCCATTCCCAAGGGAATCACCCCCATTCCCACCTGCACCATTCACATCCCAATGGAATCATTCACATTCCCACTGGAACTACCCACATTCCCACTGGAATCACCCCCATTCCCACCTGCACCATTCACATCCCACCCGTTTCTCCCTATTTTATCCCATGTTTATTGGCATCCTCCCCATCCCGGCGCCGAGGTCCCAGCTGAGCCGCGTCCATCCCTCAGTGCTGCTTCCTCCTGAAGGAACAGCCTGGAAGGGGGGGGGAAGGGGACATCACCTCCTTATCCCGGGAATTCCGCCATTCCCAACCCCATCCCATGGGTGCAGGGGGGGGGACGGGGCCGGGGCCGGTACCTTCGGTGAGCCGGGCCTTGCCCCCGGTGGGCTGGCAGAGCACGGTGGAGCAGCCCACGCAGAGCACCACGGTCTGGGCATGGCTGAACACAGTGGTGATCTTGTAGCAGCCTGAGGGGAGGGGAACGGAGGTGTCAGTGCAGGGAATGGCAGCGGGAATGAGAGCGGGATAGACTGGGAATAACAGCAGGATAGACCGGGAATAACAGCGGGATAGACTGGGAATAACAATGGGATAGACCGGGAATAACAGCGGGATAGACTGGGAATAACAATGGGATAGAGAGCGGGATACACAGGGAATAACACCGGGATAGACCAGGAATGACAGCGGGATAAACCGGGAATAACAGCAGCATAAAACCAGGATAGAGACCGGGATACACTGGGAATAACAGTGGGATAAAATCGGGATAGAGAGCGGGATACACCGGGAATAACAGCGGGATAAAACCAGGAACAGTGGGATACACCGGGAATAACAGCAGGATAGAGAGCGGGATACACTGTGAATAACAGCGGGATAAAACTGGGATAGAGAGCGGGATACACCGGGAATAACAGCGGGATAAAACCCGGAATAACAGCGGGATACACCTGGAATAACAGTGGGATAGACCGAGAATAACAGCAGGATAAAACTGGGATAGAGAGCGGGATACACCGGGAATAACAGCGGGATACACTGGGATAAAGACCAGGATACACCGGGATCAACAGTGGGATAAAACCAGGACAGAGAGCAGGATACACTGGGATAAAGAGTGGGATACACAAGGAATAGAGGGATCAACAGCGAGATGAAAACCGGGATAGAGAGCGGGATCAACAGCAGGATAGAGACCGGGATACACAGGGATCAATACTGGGCTCAACATCGGGAATAACGGGATCAACGGCAGAATAAATACCGGGATAGAGAGCGGGACACACCAGGAATAGCGGGATCAACAGTGAGAGTAACATCGGGATAGAGACCGGCATCAACACCGGGAATAAGGGGATCAACAGCAGGATCAACAGCGGGATAAACCGGGATCAACAGCGGGAATACCGGGATATTACGGTATCAACCAGAAATACCGGGATCAATACCGGCAATAGAGGGATCGACCGGGAATAACACCGGCATCAACAGCGGGATAAATAGCGGGAATATCACCGCGAAAATACCGGGATGAACAGCGGGAACACCGGGATCAATACCGGGATAAACACCGGGATATATCGGGAACATGGGGATAAACAGCGGGATGTATCCGGAACACCGGGATATAGCGGGAACACCGGGATAAACCGGGAACACCGGGATATAGCGGGAACACCGGGATGTACCCGGAACACCGGGATGTACCCGGAACACCGGGGTATATCGACATAATGGGATACCGGGAACAGCGGGATATAGAGAGAACACCGGGACCCCCCCCCCCCGGCGCTCACCGGGGCATTTGACGTCCATGAAGTAGGAGTTGGGGCTCTGCACCAGGCGCTTCTTCTTGTGCTTCCGCTTCTCCTCCTCGGGCGAGGGGTGCAGCAGGTCCTTGGCGAGCTGCGGGCATCAAGCGGCCGCCTCAGCGCCGCCGCCATCTTGCGGCCTAGCACCGGGGCCCCGTTGGCGGGCACGGAGGAACCCGGCCCTCCCCGAACCCCCCTCGGTTGCCCCATAGGAACCTTCCCCGCTTCTCCCCCCATCCCCGGTCCCATCCTTTCCCTCCCCCGGATCAGCCCAGGGGCTGCGGGGCCCCTGCCGCGGCCGCCGCGGTGCTCACGGGCATGGTGGCGTGGAGAAAGCCGCGGCCGGAAAGGGAGCGTGAGGGGAGGTGGGAGGGGTTAAGGAGGGCGCGGGGTTTCCTCCGCAAGGGCGGAAGTGAGGCGGGGCTTACGTGGGCGGTGCCATGGTGGGATGGCGGCGGCCATGTTGAGGATGGGGGCGGTGTCATGGTGGGGATGGGGGTGGAGTCATGGTGGGCATGGGGGCGGCCATGTTGGAGGGGCGTGGTAGCGGCCGTGTTGGGGATGAGTGACGTTGACACCCAAAGCCACACCCCATTGGCTGAAAACGGCCCCCAAGCCCATTCACCATAAGCCATGCTTTATCATAAAGCCACGCCCCCATGAGTGACGTTCGAACTCACAGCCGCACCCCATTGGCTGCAATCGACACCCCCGTAAAAGCCACGCCCATTTATCGACAACCCCCGCCTTTACCGCGAAGCCACGCCCCCACGTCATGACGCACAAGCTCCGCCCACCTCCCCTCAGTGCCCCAAGATGGCGGCGGCGCCGCTTGAGGCCTGGGCCCGGTTCCGGTGCCTCCGATAGCGCCGCCGGGATGGGCCCGGCCGGGCCGCTCTGCGCGGTGCTGGGGCTGCTGCTCTGCGGCCTGAGGTCGGTTCCGCCCCCGGGAGCGGGGAGAGGGAAGCGGGGCCTCCCCTCCCCACCGCGGCGCGGCCCTCACCGCTTCTCGCTGCTCCCCACAGGCCCGCGGCGGCAATGGCGGCGGGGGACGAGCGGCGCTCGGGTGAGCGGGGCCGGAACCGGAACCGAGGGTTGGGGCTCGGGACCGGAACCGGGCCCCGGTGCTGACCCCATCCCCGGTTCCCCGCAGCGAGCCCGGTGGCGGCCACCGCGTGCTGGCGGGTGGAGGAGTTCGTGGTGGCGCAGGAGTGCGGGCCCTGCTCCGCCTTTCAGATGGTGACTGCGGCTGCCCCATAGCCCTGCCCCATAGCCTTGCCCCATAGCCTGCCTCATAGTCCTGCCCCATAACGCTGTACCATAGCTCTGCCCTGCAGTGTGCCCCATAGTTCTGACCCATAACGCTGTACCATAGTGCTGCCCCATAGCCCTGCCCCATAACACTGTATCATAGCCTTGCCCCATAGCCAGCTCCATAGCCGTGTCCCATAGCCCTGCCCCTTAACGCTGTACCATAGCCCTGCCCCATACCCCTCCCCCAGAGCGCTGCCCCGTAACACTGTACCATAGCCAGCTCCATAGCCCTTCCCCGTAGCGTGCCCCATAGTACTGCCCCATAGCCCTGCCTCATAGCCAACCCTATAATGCTGTACCATAGCCCTGCCCCCCATAGTGTGCCCCATAGTTCTGCCCCAAAGCCCTGCCCTGTAGCGAGCCCCAAAGCCCAGCCCCATAGCCCTACCCTGTAGCCCTGCCCCATAACACTGCCCCATAGCCCCAGTGCCCCCTCTCCGCTGCAGAAGACGGTGCCCGAGTGCAGCCCCACCGGCTTCGTGGAGCGAATCAACTGCGCCGGCTCCAAGAGGGCCGAGTACAAGAGGTGGGGGCAGGGGGGAGGCGGCATTCCCAGCGCCATTCCCCCCCCATCCCCACCCCATTCCCATCCCCACCCCCATCCCCACCCCATTCCCACCCTATCCTCCCCCATCCCCACCCCATTCCCAGCGCCATTCCCCCCCCATCCCCACCCCATTCCCAGCGCCATTCCCCCCCCATCCCCACCCCATTCCCATCCCCACACCCATTCCCACCCTATCCTCCCCATCCCCAACCCCATTCTCCCCCCATCCCCCCACCATCCCCCCCATTTGCCCCCCATTCCCACCCTATTCCCCCCATTCCCCCATCCCCCCTATTTCACCCCCATTCCCAACCCCAAACCCCCATCCCCGACCTATTCCCCCCATTCCCATCCCCACCCCATCCCCCCCTTTCCCCCATTCCCCCTTCGTCCTCCCCCTATCCCCCCCATCCCCAACCCATTCCCCCCATTCCCAACCCCATTCCCTCCCCCATCCCCCCCATTCCCAACCTCATTTCACCCCCATTCCCAACCCCATTCCCCCTGTATCCCTCCCATCCCCATTTCCCCCCATTCCCATCCCCATTCCCCCTATCCCATTCCCCTCCCTATTCCCCCCCATTCCCCTTGTATCCCCCCTCATTCCCATTCCCCCTGTATCCCCCCCATTCCCTTCCCCATTCCCTCTGTATCCCCCCATCATTCCCCCCCATTCCGCCTGTATCCCCCCCATTCCCGCTCTATCTCCCCCACCATTCCCATCCCCATTCTCCCCCATTCCCCCTGTATCCTCCCCATTCCCATCCCCATTCCCCCCCATTCCCCCTGTATCCCCCATCCCCATCCCCCCCCATTCCCCCCCATTCTCTCTCCCATCTCCATCCCCATCTCCATCCCCCCCATTCCCCCTCTATCCCCCCCATTCCCAACCCCTTCCCATTCCCCCCCCCCCCCCCCATTCCCCCCATTCCCAACCCCATTCCCCATCCCCCCCCATCCCCCCCATTCCCCATCCCCCCCATTCCCCATCCCCCCATTCCCCATCCCCCCCATTCCCATCCCCATTCCCCCCCCATTCCCCCTCTATCCCCCATTCCCATCCCCATTCCCCCCCATTCCCCCTGTATCCCCCCCTCACCCCGCTCCCTCCCGAGCAGCTGCCGCTCAGCCCGCGTGGACGCCCGCTCCTTCTGGCGCTTCGTGGGGTCCATGCTGGGCCTGGCCGCGCTCTCGGGGCTCCTCGTGCTCTCCCGCCAGCGCCTCCTGGACCGCAGGGCCCTGGAGAAGGTGCGGAAGCAGCTGGAGGCCATCTGAAGGCGTCGGGGATGGGATGGAGCCAATGGGAACGAGAAAGACTCAATGGGAACGGGATGGAGCCCATGGGAATGGAATGGAGCCAATGGGAACGAGATGGAGCCAACGGGAATGAGAAAGACTCAATGGGAATGGGATGGACCCCATGGGAATGGGATGGATCCCATGGGATGGATCCCGTAGGAATGGGATGGATCCCGTGGGATGGATCCCATGGGAATGGGATGGAGCCCATGGGATGGATCCCGTAGGAATGGGATGGATCCCATGGGAATGGGATGGATCCCATGGGAATGAGCCCATGGGAATGGGATGGATCCCGTGGGAATGATCCCGTGGGAATGGGATGGAGCCCATGGGATGGATCCCGTGGGAATGGGATGGATCCTGTGGGAATGGCAGCAATAAACCCGGAGGCCCTGGAGCTGCCCGCGTGTGCTGGGTGCAGGGTGCCCCCCCCCATTGTGTCTTATCCCTGTATCCATGTCCTGGTATCCCTGTTCCCATGTCCCCTGTTCCGTATCCATGTTTCCTGTTCCCATATCCCTGTATCCGTGTTTCCTGTCCCCATATCCTTGTATCCATGTTCTATATCCAATGTCCCCTGTTCCCATATCCCTGTATCCGTGTTTCCTGTTCCCATATCCCTGTATCCATGTTCCCTGTTCCGTATCCCTGTATCCGTGTCCCCTGTTCCCATATCCCTGTATCCAAGTCCTGTTGGAGCTCCCCATCAGCTCCATCCCCTGCAGTGCCAGCCTCTCCCATTCCCAGCACTGGGAATGGGGCCTCTCTGCCTGCCTCCTGCCTCCGGATGTTCCTGGGAAGCACTGGGAAGGGGGGGGGGGGAGGATGCTGCTCCCCCCTTGAGCTGCTTCATTTCTGGGATCCCCCGGGATAACGCGAATGCCCCCCCCCCCCCGCCCCCATCCCATCCATGGATGGACACGGGGGGATGTGGGGCTGGGGCACGGGCAATTGTCTGCAAGGGGGGGGCAGCGATGTCCGGCCTGTCCCTGCCCATCCCTGCCCGCTCCTGCCCATCCCTTTCTGTTCCTGCTTGTCCCTTCTCGCTGCTGCCTGTCCCATCCCATCCCATCCCATCCCATCCCATCCCATCCCATCCCATCCCATCCCATCCCATCCCATCCCATCCCATCCCATCCCATCCCTGTCCTTTCCCATCCCTTTCTGTTCCTGCCTGTCCCTTTCCCATCCCCTTCACCGGTAGCGGCTCCCCCCCCGCCTCCATCACCGGGGCCGCCCCTTGGGTACCACCCCTCCGGGAACGGGGATAACGGAGCACGTGTGCGCGTTCTCGTTTCCTATTGGCTGGCGCGGGCGTCGTGTAGCGGCTACTCGCGTTTCTATTGGCTGAGGCTCGTGAGGCCCCGCCCCTTAGGATCCGCTGGTTGGTGGATGCGATGATGCGATGCAAGGAGCGGTGCGGGGGGGGGGCCTCGATCCCGGTCCTGGGTCCCAGTGCCGGGCCCTGATCCCGGTCCTTGAACCCGCTCCCAGTTCTGGATCCCGGATCCTGCTCGATCCCGCTCCCAGTTCTTTATCCCAGTCCCAATTCCCCGTCTCTGACTCTGGTCCCCAACCCCAGTCCTTTATCACGGTCCCGAGTTCCGGTCCCCTATCCCGGTCCTTGATCCCGATCCCAGCCTTTTATCCCGATCCTTGATGCTGATTCCGGTCCCTTATCCTGATCCCAGCTCTTTATGCTGGTCCCTGATCCTTGATCCCAATCCCGGTCCCTTATCCTGATCCCTGCCCTTTATCCTGATCCCATATCCTGATCACTGACCTTGATCCCAATTCTGGTCCCATATCTTGGTCTGGGTCCTTGATCCCAATCCCGATCCCTTATCCTGATCCCTGCCCTTCATCCCGGTCTCTGATCCCAATCCTGATCCCTTATCCCGATCCCAGTCCCTTATCATGATCCTGGTCCCTGATCCCGAGCCGTGATGCTGGTCATGGTCCTTGATCCTGATCCCTTGTTGTCATCCCTGCTCTTTATCCTGATCCCTGATCCCAGTCCCTGTCTCTGATCCCAATCCCCGTCCTTGATCCCGGTCCCTTCCCTTTACCCCAGCCTTTGATCCAAGTCCCGGTCCCTTGTCCCTGATCCCAATCCCCGTCTCTGATCCTAATCCCGGTCCGTTATTGCGATCCCGCTCCCTTTATCCCGGTCCTTGATCCCAGTCGCGGTCCCTTATCCCGATCCCTTCCCTTTATCCTTGATCCCAATCCTGCTCCCTGCCCTTTATCCCGGTCCTTGATCCCGATCCCAGTCCCTTATCCCTCTCCCTGCCCTTTATCCCTGATCCCAATCCCGATCCCTTCCCTTTATCCCTGTCTCTGATCCCTGATCCCGGTCCCTTATCCCACTCCCTGCCCTTTATCCCGGTCCTTGATCCCAGTCCCGGTCCCTTATCGCGATCCCTTCCCTTTATCGCTGATCCCAATCCCGATCCCTTCCCTTTATCCCTGATCCCGGTCCCTTATCCCGCTCCCTGCCGTTTATCCCGGTCCTCGATCCCAGTCCCGGTCCCTTATCCCGATCCCAGTCCCTTATCGCGATCCCGGTCCCTTATCCCTGATCCCAATCCCCGTCTCTGATCCTAATCCCGGTCCCTTATCGCGATCCCGCTCCCTGATCCCGCTCCCGGTCCCTTATCCGATCCCTTCCCTTTACCCCGCTCCCCAGTTCCGGTCCCCACTTCCCGTTTCCTTCCCCTCCCGCCCGGGCCCGCGATGGCTCCGGGGCCGGGGCCGGGGCCGGGGCCGGGGCTCGGTTCCCTCGCGCTGCGGCTGCTGCTGCCGCTCGCGTGCGGGCTGGGGCCGCTCGGCTGCTTCCGGCGGCACCGCGGGGGCACCGGTAACGGGGGGGGGGGGTGTGTGGGGGGGTCTCCATCCCCTCATCCCCTCCCCTCCATCCCATCCCCTTTATCCCGTCCTCTCCATCCCTTCCCCCCCATCCCATCCCCCCCGTCCCATCCCTTCAGCCCATCCTGTCCGTCCCATCCCCTTTACCCAATTCCCTTTACCCTATCCCATCCCCTTTATCCCATCCCCCCCATCCCATCCCTTCATCCCATCCTGTCCATCCCCTTTACCCCATCCCATCCCCTTTATTCAGTCCCCTTTATCCCATCCCCTCATCCCATCTCCTTTATCCAGTCCCCATCCCCTTTATCCCATCCCCTCATTGCATCCCCTTTATCCAATCCTCTTTATCCCATCCCCTACATTCCACCCCCATCCCCTCCATCCCATCCCCTTTATCCAATTCCCTTTATCCTGTCCCCATCCCATCCCCATCCCTTTTATCCAGTCCTCTTAATCCCATCCCCTCCATTCCATCCCCATTCCCTCCATCCTATCCCCTTTATCCTATCCCCTCCATCCCATCCCCTCCATCCCGTCCCCTCATCCCACCCCCCTCATCCAATTCCCTCTATCCCATCCATTCCCATCCCATCCCCACCCCACAGTCCCGGGATGAAGGGGATGGGGGGGGGTTTCCAATGGGATCTGGGGCTCTGCAGGGCCCCTCTAGGGGTGCCATGGGGGGGTCCCAGCCCCATTTCCCCCCCCCCCCCCTCCAGGCCCCCCGAGCCCGCTCCTGCCCCTCCTGAGCTGCTTCGCCGGGGGCGTGTTCCTGGGCACGGCGCTGCTGGAGCTGCTCCCCAGCGCCCTCTGCAGCCTCGGGGCCGCGCTGCAGGGGCTGAGCCTCAGCGTGAGCGAGCGGGGGAGCCCCATAGGGGCCTGTGGGCAAGAGGGGACCCAATGGGGATGGGGTGATGGGGAGGGGATGGGATGGGGACAGTGGGGATGAAGGCAACAGGGAGGGGATAGGGGCATGGGATATGGGCATGGGGTGATGGGGATGGGATGATGAGGATGGAGATGATGGGGTTGGGATGATGTGGATGGAGACAACAGGGATGGGATGATGGGAATGGGGTAATGGGGATGGAGACAATGGGGATGGGGTGATGAGTAGGGGGATGGGAGGTGGGGATGAGGACAGTGGGGATGGAGATGATGGGGATGGGATAATGGGGATGAAGACAATAGGAATGGGATGATGGGGATGGAGACATGGGATGGGGACAGTGGGGATGCGGTGATGAGAGAATGGGATAATGGGGATGAAGACAATAGGAATGGGATGATGGGGATGGGGTGATGGGGATGGCATATGGGCATGGGGTGATGGGAATGGGACAGTGAGGATGGAGATGATGGGGATGGGAATGGGATAATGGGGATTGAGACAATGGGGATGGGGTGATGGGAATGGGATAATGGGGATGGAGGTGATGGGGATGGGATAATGGGGATGGAGATGGTGGGAATAGAGATGATGGGAATGGGATGATGGGGATGGGAATGGGATAATGGGGATGGAGACAATGGGGATGGGGTGATGGGAATGGGATAATGGGGATGGAGGTGATGGGGATGGGATAATGGGGATGGAGATGGTGGGAATAGAGATGATGGGGATGGGATGATGAGGATGGGGATGGGATAATGGGGATGGGATAATGGGGATGGGGTGCTGGGGAGGGGGATGCGGGGCGGGGACGGGACCCTGGCTCCTCCCCATCCCCTTCATCCCCTCCCTCCGCGCAGCCGCAGTTCCCGCTCCCCGCCTTCATCCTCGCGCTCGGCTTCCTCCTCCCGCCGCTGCTGGAGCCAATCGCGATGGAGCCGCTGGCCCCGCCCCTTCCTTTCATCCCGCCGCCGGCCCCGCCCCCTCCGTGCAGCCCCGCCCACTCCATGGCGCTGCTCCTGGCGCTGGGGCTGCGCGAGGCGGAGGCGGGGCCAGGGCTGAGCCCGGCGCTGCTGCTGCACAGCGGGGCCCTAGGGGCGGGGCTCGCCCTGCGCATGCTCAGCGCGGGGCTCCGCCCCCCGGCGGTGGCCGCCGCCCTGCTCGTGCTGGCGGGCGGGGCCGCGCTCGGGGCCGCGCCCGGGGCCGCGCTCGGGGGCGCGCGGGCGGGGCTGGCCCGGGCCGTGCTGCGCGGGCTCGCGGCCGGCGCCTTCCTCTACGTCACGGCGAGGGAGGCCCCGCCCCCGGAGCTGCGGGAGCCGCGGCTGCGCATGCGCGGGGCGCTCCTGCTCCTGGCCGGCTTCGCGCTCGTCTGCGGCGCCCTCCTGGCCCGGGAGCGGGGCCCTCTGACCCCTGACCTCTGACCTGTTCCCCATTCCCTACCCCATATTCCCTGTTTCCCCATTCCCTATCCCCCATTCCCTGTTTTCCATTCCCCATCCCCATTCCCATTCCCTGTTTCCCCGTCCCCATTCCCATTCCCTGTTTCCCCATCCCCATTCCGTTTTCCATTCCCCTTTCCCCATTCCCCATTCCCCATTCCCTGTTTCCCCGTTCCCTATTCCCCATTCCCTGTTTTCCATTCCTCATCCCTATTCCCTATTCCCCATCCCTATTCCCCATTCCCATTCCCTGTTTTCCATTCCCCATTCCCTGTATCAGGAACGGGCATCACTTCCCCACCCCCTCACCCAAGTGCCAAAGGCTCCCCGCATCCCCCCCCCATCCACAGAGGGGGGAACGGAGCTGCTCCCCCCATGGGACCCAAGGATAGGGGGCGGGGTGGGGCGGGCTTGAGCGGGTCCCCCCCTACACACCCCATAAGTGCCTTTATAGGATGGGAGCAACAGCGCCCCCCCCAGGATCGGAGGACGCATTGGATGAATAAAGGACTCGAGCTGATGGGGCTGCCTTTAACTGGGAGGGGGGCACATTGTATCCCCTATAGGGGTATATGGGCTGGGGGGTTCACATTGTACCCCTATAGGGGTATATGGGCTGGGGGGTTCACATTGTACCCCTATAGGGGTATATGGGCTGGGGGGGGTCACATTGTACCCCCCTATAGGGGTATATGGGCTGGGGGGTTCACATTGTACCCCCTATAGGGGTATATGGGCTGGGGGGGTCACATTGTACCTCCTATAGGGCTATATGGGCTGGGGGGGTTCACATTGTACCCCCTATAGGGGTATATGGGCTGGGGACGGTCACATTGTACCCCCTATAGGGGTATATGGGCTGGGGAGGGGTCACATTGTGCCCCCTATAGGGCTCCATAGGGCCCCTCGCCCCTCCCTCGCGTCGCCGCAGTGCACGCTGGGACTTGTAGTTCAGCCCCCTCCCCACCCTTCCCATGAGCGACCTGGGCCTCATCCCCCATCACCCCTTGCGCTCCCTCCGCGGTGCCTGCTGGGACTTGTAGTCCTTCCCCCCGCCCTTTCCCCACCCAATGGGCTGCGGCGCTGGGGCGGACTCCATCCCCCAGCATCCCCCGCGCGGCGGGCGGTGGCGGTAGCGGTAGAAGTGGAGGAGGAAGGGAAGGGGGGGGGGCCAAGATGGCGGCGGCGGCAGGCGCGGGGCCTGGTCCCGGGCCCGGTGCTGGGGCCTCCGGGGCAGGCTCCGGTTCCGGCTCCGGTTCCGGTTCGAACCCCCGTAAGTTCAGCGAGAAGATCGCGCTGCAGAAGCAGCGGCAGGCGGAAGAGACGGCGGCCTTCGAGGAGGTGATGATGGAGCTCGGCTCCACGCGGGTGAGCAGCGCCGCGGCCTGCACCGGGCCTCGCTGAGGGGAGATCGGGGGGAGGCCCTATGGGGGGTGTCTGTAGGGGTGCCTCCCTATAGGGTGTGTATGGGGGTAACCCCCTATGGGGTGTCTATGGGGGTACCCTTCCATAGGGTGTGTATGGGGGAACTCCCTATGGGGTGTCTGTAGGGGTACCTCCCCATAGGTTGTGTATGGGGGTAACCCCCTATGGGGTGTCTATGGGGGTACCCCCTTATGGGGTGTGTATGGGGGAACTCCCTATGGGGTGTCTATAGGGGGTACCTCCTCATAGGGTGTGTATGGGGGTAAGCCCCTATGGGATGTCTATGGGGGTAACCCCCTATGGGGTGTCTATAGGGGTACCCCCCCCATAGGGTGTATATGGGGGTAACCCCCTATGCGGTGTCTATAGGGGTACCCCCCCATAGGGTATCTATAGGGGGTACCCCCTCCATAGGGTGTGTATAGGGGTAACCCCCTATGGGGTGTCCATAGCGTTACCCCCCCCTTAGGGTGTTTATGGGGGTAACCCCGCTATACGGTGTCTATGGGGGGTACCCCCCCATTGGATGTCTATAGGGGGTACCCACTATGGGGTGTGTATGCGGGGGTGACTATAGGGGGTACACCTCCATAGGGTGTCTATAGGGGTACCCCCGCTATAGGGTGTCTATGGGGGATACCCCCCCATTGGATGTCTGTGGGGGGTACTTCCTCATGGGGTGTCTTATGGGGATATCTCCCCCAATGGATGTCTATAGGGGGTACCCCCTTATGGGATGTGTATGTGGGGGTGTCTATAGGGTGTACCCCCTATGGGGTGACTATGGGGGTGCCCCCCCATGGGCTGCAGAGGGCTTGGTGTTCCCATGGGAAGCACTGGATGCTCTGTCCCTGGCTTGGCTTCCACTGGGCTGGAGCCTGGGAAGAGAGGTATGGAGCAGATCCCATTGGGATGGGGATGGGAATGGGAATGTGGTGTGCTCTGAGGGGAATGCCATAGGGACGGCTGGGATTGCCATAAGGACGGCTGGAATTGCCATAGGGATGGCTGGGATTGGCATAGGAACGCCTGGAAATGCCATAGGAATGGCTGGGAATACTATAGGGAAGGCTGGGAATGCCATACAGAAGGCTGGGAATGCCATAGGGATGCCTGGGAATGTTATAGGGATGGCTGGGATTGGCATAGGTACGGCTGGGAATGCTATAGGGAAGACTGGGAATGCCATAGGGATGGATGGGAATGCCATAGGAATGGCTGGGATTGGCATAGGGGAGGCTGGGAATGCCATAGGGACGGCTGGGAATGCCATAGGGACGGATGGGAATGCCATAGGGACGGATGGGAATGCCATAGGGATGGCTGGGATTGGCATAGGGACGGCTGGGAATGCTGTGGTTTGGGGTATGGAGCCAGGCCGGGCCAAGCCGGGTGATGGGATTCCCATTCATTCCCATTGGAGCCATGGGATGGGTCAGCTCCAGGAGCATGGGGGCGGTGCCAGGAACGCTTGGGATCAGTGGGAATTGGTGTGTGTGGGGGGGTGTTTGGGTTGGGAATCCCACCGGAAGGCAGCGATCCCATGGGATCCTCCTGGCGGGATTCCCATAGATCCCAATGGGAACGGCGGGAGGCTCCGGGCTGTGTTTGCAGAGCAAACAGGCGGTTAATGTGCAGCCATGCCCGGGATCCCGCTCCCTTTGGGATCGGGGTCCCCACGCGAGGCTCAGCCCCCATTGCTGGCATCCATAGGGATGAGGGCAGCTCCTCCGCGCGCTCCTATGGGATTCCCAATGGGATTTGGGGTAGCTGGAGCCTGCTTCCCTGCTGGAATTGCCTTGGGATTGCATTGGTGCCGTTATCCCAGCTGGGGTTCGGGGATCCCTCCATCCCAATGGGATGCTCCCTTGGGGGGGTGGGGGGGATCCCTGCCCTATTCATTCCCCTATTCGTGCTCTATTCCCCTCCCATTCCTGCCCTATTATTGCTCTATTCCTGCCCTATTTCTTCTGTTCCCTCCCTATTCCTAGCCCATTCCTGCCCTATTATTCGTCTATTCCTGGCTTATTCTTTCCCCTATTCTTGCCTTATTCCCACCCCATTCCCTTCCTATTCCTCCCTGTTATTGCCTTATTCCTTCTCCTGTTCCTACCGCATTCCTGCTCTGTTACTGCTGTATTCCTCCCCTATTCCTTCCCCTATTCGTGCCCTATTCCCACCCCATTCTTGCCCTATTATTGTTCTATTCCTTCCTATTCCTTCCCCTATTCCTCCCTTATTCCCACTCCATTCCTGCATTATTCCTGCTCCATTCCTTTCTAATCTTGCCCTATTATTGCCTTATTCTCACCCTATTCATGCCCTATTTCCTCTCCTTTCCTGTCCTATTCATACCATGTTATTGCTTTATTCTTTCCCCTATTCTTGTCCTATTCCTTCTCCTGTTCCTTCCCCTATTCCTGCCCTGTTATTGCCCTATTCCGGCCCTATTCCTTCCCCTATTCCTGCCCTATTCCTGCTCTATTCCCCCCCATTCCTGCCCTGTTATTGCCCTGTTCCTTCCCCTATTCCTGCTCTATTCCCATCCCATTCCTGCCCTATTATTGCTCTATTCCTGCCCCTGTTCCTTCCCCTATTCCTGCCCCTATTCCTTCCCCTATTCCTGCCCTATTCCTTCCCCTATTCCTGCCCTATTCCTTCCCCTATTCCTTCCCCTATTCCTTCCCCTGTTCCTTCCCCTGTTCCTTCCCGTATTCCTTCCCGTATTCCTTCCCGTATTCCTTCCCCTATTCCTTCCCCTATTCCTTCCCCTTTCCCCGCCCCATTCCCGCTATCCCTAGGGATGCTCTGGGAGCATCCCAGCATCCCGGCTCCCTGCTCCCAGTTGCAGGCCCAGAAGCTGCGGCTGGCGCACAGCCGGGGGCCCTATTACAGCGGCTCCCTCCCCAACGTCAACCAGCTGGGCAGCGGCGTTCCCGACTTCCAGGTGAGCTCCGGGATGGGACTGGGATGGGACTGGGATGGGACTGGGATGGGACTGGGGGATCCGTGGGGATAGCGTGGAACCATGGAGGGGGGCGTTGGGATGGAGCTCAGGGACAGGGTGGAGGGGGCGGGAGCTGAGCTCCGAGGGGATGGGTGGGATATAGGGGAAGGGATGGGATAAGGGGGAAAGGATGGGATGAAAAGGAAGGGATGGGATAAGAGGAAACGGATGGGATAAGAGGGAAGGGATGGGATAAAAGGGAAGTAATGGGGTAAGAGGAAATGGATGGGATAAGAGGGAAGGGATAAGCTAAGAAGAGAGGGATGGGATAACAGGAAAAGGATGGGATAAGAGGGAAGAGATGGGATGAGAGAGATGGGATAAGAGGGAAGGGATGGGATAAAAAGGAAGGGATGGGATAAAAGAGAAGTAATGGGGTAAGAGGAGACGGATGGGATAAGAGGGAAGAGATGGGATAAGTGGAAAAGGGTGGGATAAGAGGGAAGGGGTGGGATAAAAGGGAAGGGATGGGATAAGAGGAAAAGGATGGGATAAGAGGGAAGAGGTGGGATGAAACGGATGGGATAACGGGGAAGGGACTGGATAAAAGGGATGGGATAAGGGGGAAAAGATGGGATGAAAAGGAAGCGATGGGATAAAAGGGAAGTAATGGGGTAAGAGGAAATGGATGGGATAAGAGGGAAGAGATGGGATGAAAGGGATGGGATAAGAGGGAAGGGATGGGATAAGAAGACAGGGATGGGTAAGAGGGAAGAGATGGGATGAAAGGGATGGGATAAGAGGAAAAAGATGGGATAAGAGGATAGGGATGGGATGAAAGGGATGGGATGAGAGGAAGCGGCCTCAGGCTGCGCCAGAGGGGGTTTATTGGGATGAGTTGGTCCAGTGAGGAGCAGTCGGGATCGGGACAGGGAATGGGGCAGCCTCCATCCATGCAGCGTTCCCAGTGCATGCTGGGAATGGTTGGGCTTGAGCTGGTTCATTCCATGATTCCATGATCCCTGTGGCGGCGGAAGGGCCCCATCCCGACCCCATCCCAGCCCCATCCCGACCCCATCCCAGCCCCATCCCGACGCCATCCCAGCCCCATCCCGACCCCATCCCGACCCCATCCCGACCTCACCCAACCCCATCCCGGACCCATCCCGGCCCCATCCCTGCCCCATCCCGGCCCCATCCCTGCCCCATCCCGGCCCAATCCCGGCCTCATCCCAGCCTCATCCCGACCTCATCCCGACCCCATCCCGGCCCCATCCCGGCCCCATCCCGACCTCATCCCAGCCCCATCCCTGCCCCATCCCAGCCCCATCCCTGCCCCATCCCAGTCCCATCCCAGCCCCATCCCAGTCCCATCCCAGTCCCATCCCAGCCCCATCCCAGTCCCATCCCAGCCCCATCCCAGCCCCATCCCAGTCCCATCCCAGCCCCATCCCAGCCCCATCCCAGCCCCATCCCGACCCCATCCCGACCCCATCCAGACCTCACCCCGACCTCATCCCTGCCCCATCCCTGCCCCATCCCGACCCCATCCCGACCCCATCCCGGCCCCATCCCGAGCTCCGACCTCATCCCTGCCCCATCCCGGCCCCATCCCGACCCCATCCCGACCCCATCCCGGCCCCATCCCGACCTCACCCAACCCCATCCCTGCCCCATCCCGACCCCATCCCGTCCCCATCCCGGCCCCATCCCAGCCCCATCCTGACCCCATCCCGACCTCACCCAACCCCATCCCTGCCCCATCCCGACCCCATCCCAGCCCCATCCTGACCCCATCCCGACCTCACCCAACCCCATCCCGACCCCATCCCGACCCCATCCCGACCTCACCCGACCCCATCCCAGCCGCATCCCGACCCCATCCCAGCCGCATCCTGACCCCATCCCAGCCGCATCCCGACCCCATCCCAGCCCCATCCCGACCCCATCCCAGCCCCATCCCGACCCCACCCCACCCCCACCCCCCTCACCCCTGTCTCATCCCCAGGGCCCGCTGCATTCCCCGCTGGATTCCACGCGGAGCACCCGGCACCATGGCCTGGTGGAGCGGGTGCAGCGGGACCCGCGCCGGATGGTGTCCCCCCTGCGCCGCTACGTGCGCCACATATCCTTTAGCCCGGAGGCCTTCCGGGGGACCGGCACCTCTGGGTAGGCGGCATTCCCATGGGATCAGCGGCGTTCCCATGGGATCAGCGGCATTCCCATGGGATCAGCGGCATTCCCATGGGATCAGCGCCTCTGGGCAGGCAGCATTCCCATGGGATCAGCGGCATTCCCGTGGGATCAGCGCCTCTGGGTAGGCGGCATTCCCATGGGATCAGCGGCATTCCCATGGGATCAGCGGCATTCCCGTGGGATCAGCGGCATTCCCATGGGATCAGCGCCTCTGGGCAGGCAGCATTCCCATGGGATCAGCGGCATTCCCGTGGGATCAGCGGCATTCCCATGGGATCAGCGGCATTCCCATGGGCTCGGCGGCATTCCCGTGGGATCAGCGGCATTCCCGTGGGATCAGCGGCATTCCCGTGGGATCAGCGGCATTCCCGTGGGATCAGTGGCATTCCCGTGGGATCAGCGGCATTCCCATGGGATCAGCACCTCTGGGTAGGCGGCATTCCCATGGGATCAGCGGCATTCCCATGGGATCATCACCTCTGGGCAAGCGGTATTCCCGTGGGATCAGCGGCATTCCCATGGAATCAGTGTCTCTGGGCGGGCGGCATTCCCATGGGATTGGTGGCATTCCCATGGGCTCAGTGCCTCTGGGTAGGAGCCATTCCCATGGGATCAGCACCTCCAGGCAGGCAGCATTCCCACGGGATCAGTGCCTCTGGGCAGGTGGCATTCCCATGGGATCAGCAGCATTCCCATGGGATCAGTGCCTGTGTGCGGGCAGCATTCCCATGGGGTCAGCAGCATTCCCATGGGATCAGTGCCTCTGTGCAGGCGGCATTCCCATGGGATCAGCAGCATTCCCATGGGATCAGCAGCATTCCCATGGGATCAGCCCCTCCGGATACCCTTGTTCTCCCTTAACGCGCCCGCACATCGACAGCTCTCCCTATGGACCCACGTACCTGTCGCCCCCCCCCGAGCCCAGCTGGAGGAGGTAAATTCCCCCTTTCCCCGGGCTCCCAGCATTGGGATCGGGAATGGCGGCTCCTGCTTTATCCAGAGGGATAAAGGCCGGGAATGGGGTGAGGCTGCCCCGGATCAACCCCTTCCCAAGTTAACCCTGACCCTTTCCCTAAGGACCATGCCCTGGGGGAACTTCCCGATGGAAAAGGGCCATTTGTTCCGCCTGCCCTCGGCTCTCAACAGGTCAGTGCTTGCCTGCATCCCGCTTTTCCTCCCTTCCTTCCCTAGGGGTCGCTATGGGGCTGGGGATGGGAAAGGGCTCCATGGGGATCATCCCCTTTTAGGGGCCTCCATCCCTTTGGATGCTGGGATGCAGGAGCCAGAGCATCCCTTTGGGATCCCCATGGAGGGATGGGGTGGGGGGGGGTGCTTATGGCAGCTCCTGCTCCATCGCTCCCAACCGGATCCCATGGGATAAGGCTGGGGGGGGGGGGGGGTCTGGTGGCCTCTTCCCAATGGGAATTCCCATCCTGATCCCGCTGTCTCCCGCAGGACGAATTCCGACTCCGCTCTGCACACGAGCGCCCTGAACCCCGGCCCCCAGGACCCCTTCCTGGGCCCCACACAGGGACCCCCCGCGCCCGGGCGCCGCGGTGAGAGCCCCACAGCGAGCGCATGGACCTGACCCCCCCCATCCCCTTGTGTCCATCCCATTGTGTCCATCCCCTTGTGTGCGTCCCATTGGATCTGTCCCCTTGTGTCCATCCCCTTGTGTCCATCCCCTTGTGTCCGTCCCATTGGATCTGTCCCCTTGTGTCCATCCCCTTGTGTCCATCCCCTTGTGTCCATCCCCTTGTGTCCATCCCATTGGATCCGTCCCATTCTGTCCATCCCCTTGTGTCCATCCCCTTGTGTCCATCCCCTTGTGTCCATCCCCTTGTGTCCATCCCCTTGTGTCCATCCCCTTGTGTCCATCCCATTGTATCCCTCCCATTGGATCCGTCCCATTCTGTCCGTCCCATTGTATCCATCACAGTGTGCCCATCCCCTTGTGTCCATCCCATTGTATCCCTCCCATTGGATCCGTCCCATTCTGTCCATCCCCTTGCGTCCATCACCCTGCGCCCATCCCCTTGTGTCCGTCCCGTTGTATTCGTCCCCTTGTGTCCATCCCATTGTGTCCATCCCCCTGTATCCATTTCCACCCTCCTGTATCCATCCCCCTGTATCCATCTCCTTGTGTCCATCCTCATACCCTTGTATCCATCCCCTTTTGTCCATCTCCTTGTATCCATCCCCATCCCATTGTATCCATCCCCATCCATCCCCTTGTATCCATCCCCATCCCATTGTATCCATCCCCCGTATCCATCCCCTTGTATCCATCCCCATCCCATTGTATCCATCCCCCTATATCCATCCCCTTGTATCCATCCCCATCCCATTGTATGCATCCCCCTGTATCCATCCCCTTGTATCCATCCCCATCCTATTGGATCCCTCCCCCTGTATCCATCCCCATCCCGTTGGATCCATCCCCTTGTACCCATCTCCTTGTATCCATCCCTATCCCCTGTATCCATCCTCCTTTATCCATCTCCTTGTATCCATCCCCATCCCATTGGATCCCTCCCCCTGTATCCATCCCCATCCCATTGGATCCCTCCCCTTGTATCCATCCCATTGGACATCCCCTGATCCATCCCCATCCCATTGGATCCATCCCCTGCATCCATCCCCATCCCATTGGATCCATCCCCTGCATCCATCCCCATCCCATTGGATCCCTCTCCCTATATCCATCCCCATCCCATTGGATCCATCCCCTGCATCCATCCCCATCCCATTGGATCCCTCCCCCTGTATCCATCCCCATCCCATTGGATCCATCCCCATCCCATTGGATCCATCCCCATTCCATTGGATCCATCCCCTGCATCCATCCCCATCCCATTGGCTCCATCACCATCCCCTCCTCTCTTCCAGGTTTCCTGGATGGGGATGTCGACAGCAAAGGTGAGCCCCACATCCCAGATCCCAACCCCGTGTCCCCCCCCATACATTGGGGTGCACTGGGGGGGGGGGGTTGCTCCGTGCCCCTCACCCCCATTCCCGATGCCTCTTCCCAGTGTTCCTTTTCCAAGTGCCTCCCATTGAAGAGACCTTCGATGATCCCAAGCCCCCGCTGAAGCCTTGGGACACCCGGAAGGTGGGAGAGGGGTGGGAATGGTTGGGATGGGGGGGCTGCACCCCACGCCCATCCTGCCCTCACCGCCTTCCTCCCCACAGCTCTCCTCATCCTCAGCTCGGCCGCGCTCCTGCGAGGTCCCGGGCATCCAGTGAGTGCTTGGGAACGGATTGGGAGTGAACTGGGAATGGCTTGGGAATGGATTGGGAATGGATTGGGAGTGAACTGGGAATGGCTTGGGAATGGATTGGGAATGGCTTGGGAGTGAACTGGGAATGGTTTGGGAATGGTTTGGGAATGGATTGGGAGTGAACTGGGAATGGCTTGGGAATGGATTGGGAATGGATTGGGAGTGGTTTGGGAATGGTTTGGGGATGGTTTGGGGATGGTTTGGGGTGTGGGAATGGTTTGGGAATGGTTTGGGAATGGATTGGGATTGGGATGGATTGGGAATGGATTGGGAATGGATTGGGATGATGTTTGGGGATGGTTTGGGGATGGATTGGGGATGATTTGGGGATGGTGGGGATGGTTTGGGAATGGATTGGGAATGGATTGGGAATGGTTTGGGAATGGTTTGGGGATGGTTTGGGGATGGTTTGGGGATGGTTTGGGGATGGATTGGGAATGGTTTGGGAATGGTTTGGGAATGGATTGGGAATGGATTGGGAGTGAACTGGGAATGGATTGGGAATGGTTTGGGGATGGTTTGGGGATGGATTGGGAATGGTTTGGGGATGGTTTGGGGATGGTTTGGGGATGGATTGGGGATGGTGGGGATGGATTGGGAATGGTTTGGGAATGGTTTGGGAATGGATTGGGAATGGATTGGGAGTGAACTGGGAATGGATTGGGAATGGTTTGGGGATGGTTTGGGGATGGTTTGGGGATGGATTGGGAATGGTTTAGGGATGGTTTGGGAATGGTTTGGGAATGGTTTGGGAGTGAGCTGGGAATGGCTTGGGAATGGTTTGGGAATGGCTTGGGAATGGATTGGGAGTGAACTGGGAATGGTTCGGGAGTGCTGTGGGCAGGGGGGGCTGCGGGCGGGGGGGGGCTGCGGGCGGGGGGGGCTCTGGGCAGGGGGGGGCTGCGGGTGGGGGGGGTTCTGGGCAGGGGGGGCTCTGGCCGGGGGGGGCTCTGGACAGGGGGGGCTGCGCCCCCGGTTCCATTCCCAGCCTCTCCCCCTCTCCCCCTCCAGCGTTTTCCCATCCCCGGACCCCGCCGCTCCCGGGCCCCTGCTCCCGCCCGCGCTCAGCACCGGGGGCTCCCTCCCCGACCTCACCTCCCTGCACTTCCCCTCCCCGCTGCCCACGCCCCTGGACCCCGAGGAGGGGCCCTTCCCGAGCCTGGGCTCCTGCGGCAGCACCGGGAACCTCACCAGCACCATGACCCAGCTGGGCATCAGCGGCACCATGGCGCTGGCGCCCCCGTACGACGCCCAAGGTGCGGCAATGGGGTGCGCTGGGGCGTGCTGGGGTGCACTGGGATGGACTGGGAGGCACTGGGGGGATGCGCTGGGATGTACTGGGAGGCACTGGTGGGATGTGCTGGGATGCGCTGGGGCGTGCTGGGATGCACTGGGATGGACTGGGAGGCACTGGGGGGATGCACTGGGATGCACTGGTGGGATGTGCTGGGATGTGCTGGGATGCGCTGGGGTGTGCTGCGATGCACTGCGGTGTACTGGGAGGCACTGGTGGGATGTGCTGGGATGCACTGGGAGGCACTGGTGGGATGTGCTGGGATGTACTGGGAGGCACTTGGGGGATGTGCTGGGATGTACTTGGAGGCACTGGTGGGACGTGCTGGGATGCACTGAGACGTGCTGGGATGGACTGGGATGTACTGGGAGGCACTGGTGGGATGCGCTGGGATGTACTGGGAGGCATTGGTGGGATGTGCTGGGATGCACTGGGACGTGCTGCGATGCACCGGGATGTACTGGGAGGCACTGCTGGGATGTGCTGGGATGCACTGGGACGTGCTGGGATGCATTGGTGGGATGTGCTGGGATCCATTGCGATGCGCTGGGACGCATTGCTGGGATGTGCTGGGATGCACTGGGATGTGCTGGGATGCTTTGGGGGGATGTGCTGGGATGCATTGGGGTGCACTGGGATGTGCTGGGATCCATTGGGATGCACTGGGATGCACTGGGATGCATTGGGATGCGCTGGGTTACACTGGGATGTGCTGGGATGCATTGGGGTGCATTGGATTGCATTGGTGGGATGCACTGGGATGCATTGGGATGTGCTGGGATGCATTAGGATGCATTGCGATGCGCTGGGATGTACTGGGATGCTCTGGATGAGCATCCCTGTGCTGAGATGCATTGGGACGCATTGGAATGGGCTGGGATGCATTGGGATGGGCTGGGATGCATTGGGATGGGCTGGGATGCATTGGGATGGGCTGGGTGGGATGTGCTGGGTGGCTGGAACAGCCCCTTAAGACAGGAGCGTGCGCAAGGGGTTGGGGGTATCCCGGTGATCCCAGTTTGGGAATGCTGCTGCGTTTCCAAGGTGGAGCATCCCTGGGATGTGTGCGTGTATCCCAGCGCTAATCCCAAGGGATGCGCCTGTATCCCAGCGCTAATCCCAAGGGATGCGCCTGTATCCCAGTACTAATCCCAAGGAATGCGCCTGTATCCCAGTACTAATCCCAAGGGATGCGCCTGTATCCCAGTACTAATCCCAAAGGATGCGCATGTATCCCAGTACTAACCCCAAGGGATGCGTGGGTATCCCAGTACCAATCCCATGGGATGCGCGTGTATCCCAGTACTAATCCCAAGGGATGCGCGTGTATCCCAGTACCAATCCCAAGGGATGCACGCGTGTATCCCAGTACTAATCCCAAGGGATGCGCGTGTATCCCAGTACTAATCCCAAGGGATGCGCCTGTATCCCAGTACTAATCCCAAGGGATGCGCGTGTATCCCAGTACTAATCCCAAGGGATGCGCCTGTATCCCAGTACTAATCCCAAGGGATGCGCGTGTATCCCGGTACTAATCCCAAGGGATGCGCGTGTATCCCAGTACTAATCCCATGGGATGCATGTGTATCCCAGCACTAATCCCAAGGGATGCGCGCGTATCCCGGTACTAATCCCAAAGGATGCGCACGCATCCTGGTAGTAATCCCACAGGATGCGCCTGTATCCCAATACTAACCAAAGGATGCGCGTGCATCCCAGTACTAATCCCATGGGATGCACCTGTATCCCAGTACCAATCCCAAGGGATGTGCCTGTTCCCCCATGCTGTTCCCATGGCGCTCCCATCTCCATCCCATCTCCATCCCATCCCCCCCCATTCCCCCCCATTCCCTCGGGTAACTCCTCCTCTCCTCTTCTCTCCCCGCAGGCCTGGCCCCGGCCCTGCCCCCCCCCCTCACCCCCCCGGCCCTGCCCAGCCCCGGCCTCCCCCCCCTTTCCTCCTCCTCCTCCTCCTCCTCCTCCTCCTTCCCCCCCCAGGCCCCGCCCCTTCCAGGCTCCTCCGCCCGGCACCGGGGCCCCCCCACCCTGGCCTTGGGGGGCGAGAGCCGGCGCCAGCTCCCAAACCACCGCTTCCCGCCGGCCCCGGCACCGGCACCGGCACCGGCCCTGCCGCAGGCACAGCCGCAGCCACAGGCACAGGCACAGGCACAGGCACAGATACAGGCACAGGCACTTCCCAACAGCGCCCAGGTACGCGCCCGCACCCACACCTGCACCCACAGGGCAGCAGCACAGCCCTCAGCCCCCCCCCTCCTCCTCTTCCTCCCCTTCCTCTTCCCTTTCCCCTTCCTCCTCTTCCTCCTCCTCCCCTTCCCCTCTTCCTCCTCCTCCTCTTCCCTTTCCTCCCCTTCCTCCCCTTCCTCCCCTTTCTCCTCCTCCCCTTCCTCCCTTTCCTCTTCCTCCTCCTCTTCCTCCTCTTCCCCCCTCCTTCCTCCTCGCCCTCCTTCCCCCTTCTTCCCCCTTCCCCCTTCTTCCCCCTTCCTTCTCTTTGCTCTCCCTCTTCTTCCCCTTCCGTCCCCTTTCTCCTCCTCTTCCTCCTTTTCCTTCTTCTCTTCCTTCCTCTTCCTCCTTTTCCTCTTCTTCCTTTTCCTCTTCCCCCCTCCCTTCTCCTCTTCCTCCTCCTTCCTTTCCTTTCTCCCCCTCCTCTTCCTCCTCTTCCCCTTCCGCCCCCTTTGTCCTCCTCTTCCCCTTCTCCTCTTCCTTCTCCCTTTCCTCTTCCTCCTTCTCCTCTTCCTCCTCTTCCTCCTCCTGCTCCTCTTCGCCCTCTTCCTTTCTCCTCTTCCTCCTCCTCCTCCGTGTCTTTGTGTCCATCCTCATCTCAATCACAACCCCATGACACCCAATGGAGCCTCCCTCCACTTCCTATGGAGCCTCCCTCCATCCCTATGGAGCCTCCCTCCATCCCTATGGAGCCTTCCTCCATCCCTATGGAGCCTCCCTCCGCTTCCTATGGAGCCTCCCTCCATCCCTATGGAGCCTCCCTCCGTCCCTATGGAGCCTCCCTCCATCCCTATGGAGCCTCCCTCCATCCCTATGGAGCCTCCCTCCATCCCTATGGAGCCTCCCTCCGTCCCTATGGAGCCTCCCTCCATCCCTATGGAGCCTCCCTCCATCCCTATGGAGCCTCCCTCCATCCCTATGGAGCCTTCCTCCATCCCTATGGAGCCTTCCTCCATCCCTATGGAGCCTCCGTCCCTATGGAGCCTCCCTCCATCCCTATGGAGCCTCCCTCCATGGGGTGATGATGAGCAAGGACCCCACATCCCTCTTGGGATGCCCCCCCCGATGATTCCCTATGGGAATCTCCCCCCTATGGCTCCCAACCCATGGGGGCTGCACTGGGGGGTGGGGATGGAGGGCTCCCCATTGCCCCCCCCACCCCGCTATGGGGCAGTGTGGGGGGGGGGATCCCCCCTGACCCCCATCTCTCGCTCTCTCCTAGGGGGTCCCATTGGACAGCACCAAGCTGGGGGCCGAGCAGCGCCTGCCCCCTTACCCCTACCCCCAGCCCGGCCTCCTCCTGCCCCACAGAGCCCCCCCCGCCCCACAAGTGCTGCCCAGCGCCGCCCCACAGCTGCCCCCCCACTACCAGCCTCTGGGGGACTTCGCCTTGGGCACTGTGAGTCTATGGGGCGCGGATGTGGGGCAGGGGAAGTGGGGGGGGGGGATGGATCCCATTAACATCCATTTAATCCCGCTTCTCCTTCCCAGTTTGAGCAGTTTGGGATGGGCGAAGGCTCCGGGGGCCTGGGCTTCCCCGAGGATTTGGGCTACCAAGAGAGCGAAGGGGGCTACGAGCCCCCCCCCATCCTGGCCCGCCCGCCCCATAGCAACTGCAGCCGGCACGGGGGGAGCGTGCCCAGCATCCTCCTGCCAGGTGGGCACCCGTGGCCGTTCCCATTGGGATCGTGGGATCATGGACACCCCCCCCTTATCTCCCATTGGGATAAAGGGACCCTGACCCCCCTGTATCTCCCATTGGGATAAAGGCATCCTGACCCCCCCCATTTATCCCCATGGGGCAATGGGACCCTCACCCCCCCATTTACCCTCATGGAGCAATGGGACCCTGACCCCCCTTTATCTCCCATTGGGATAATGAGACCCTGACCCCCCCATTTACCCCCATGGGGCAATGAGACCCTGACCCCCATTTACCCCTATGGGGCAATGAGACCCTGACCCCCCTTTATCTCCCATTGGGATAATGGGATTCTGACCCTCCCATTTACCCCCATGGTGCAATGGGCCCCTGACCCCCCCATTAATCCCTATGGGGCAATGGGCCCCTGACCCCCATTAATCCCTATGGGGCAATGAGACCCTGACCCCCATTAATCCCCATGGTGCAATGAGACCCTGACCCCCCCATTTACCCCCATGGGGTAATGGAACCCTGACCCCCCCATTAATCCCTATGGGGCAATGGGCCCCTGACCCCCATTAATCCCTATGGGGCAATGGGCCCCTGACCCCCATTAACCCCTATGGGGCACTGGAACCCTCCCCCTTTCTCTGCCCTAGGGGAGTCCCCGTGCGGGCTGTCCAAGGACATCGCGGCCGCGCTCTCGGGGCTGCCTGGCTTCGAGGTGGAGGCGGTGGGGCTGGGGCTGGAGCAGGAGCTGCGCATCGAGCCCCTGGGGCTGGAGGGGCTCAGTGTGCTCAGCGACCCCGCGGCCCTGCTGCCCGACCCCGCTGTCGAGGACGCCTTCCGCACCGACCGCCTGCAGTGAGGGGGGCACGGGGGGGCTGGGGCCCCATAGACAGCAATGGGGGGGGACGTGCTGTCTGTGAGCCCATAGACACCTATGGGGGGGGCTGGGACCCCATAGACACCTATGGGGGGGGTCTGTGCTGTCTGTGAGCCCATAGACACCTATGGGGGGGGGCTGGGACCCCATAGACACCTATGGGGAGGGACGTGCTGTCTGTGAGCCCATAGACACCTATGGGGGGGGGCTGGGGCCCCATAGACAGCAATGGGGGGGGTGTCTGTGCTCTCTGTGAGCCCATAGACACCTATGGGGGGGCTGGGACCCCATAGACACCTATGGGGAGGGACGTGCTGTCTGTGAGCCCATAGACACCTATGGGGGGGACCGTGCTGTCTGTGAGCCCATAGACACCTATGGGGAGGGACGTGCTGTCTGTGAGCCCATAGACACCTATGGGGGGGGCAGGGATGCTGTTATCCCTATAGACACCAATGGGGGGCGTCTGGGCTCTCTGTGAGCCCATAGACACCTATGGGGGGGGGCTGGGACCCCATAGACACCTATGGGGGGCCAGGGATGCTGTTATCCCTATAGACACCAATGGGGGGCGTCTGGGCTCTCTGTGAGCCTATAGACACCTATGGGGGGCAGTGATGCTGTTATCCCCATAGACACCTATGGGGGGCGTCTGTGCTCTCTGTGACCCCATAGACAGCAATGGGGGGGGCAAGGGTGCTGTTATCCCCATAGACACCTATGGGGGGCGTCTGGGCTCTCTGTGACCCTATAGACACCTATGGGGGGCCAATGATGCTGTTATCCCCATAGACACCAATATGGGGGCAGGGATGCTCTTATCCCCATAGACAGCAATGGGGGGGGGGGTCTGTGCTGTCTGTGAGCCCATAGACACCTATGGGGGGGACCGTGCTCTCTGTGACCCCATAGACACCTATGGGGGGCCAGGGGTGCTCTTAACCCCATAGACAGCAATGGGGGGGATCTGTGAGCCCATAGACACCTATGGGGGGGTCTGTGCTCTCTGTGAGCCCATAGACAGCAATGGGGGGGCAGGGGTGCTGTTACCCCCATAGAGCACAATGGGAGGCCAATGATGCTGTTATCCCCATAGATACCAATGGGAGGCCAGGGATGCTGTTATCCCCATAGACACCAATGGGGGGTGCAGGGGTGCTCTTATCGCCATAGACACCAATGGGGGGCCAATGATGCTGTTGTCCCCATAGACACCAATGGGGGGCCAATGATGCTGTTATCCCCATAGACACCAATGGGGGGCGCAGGGGTGCTCTTACCGCCATAGACACCAATGGGGGGCCAATGATGCTGTTATCCCCATAGAGCACAATGGGGGGCCTAGTGATGCTGTTACCCCCATAGACACCAATGGGGGGCCCAGTGCCGCTATCCCCCCCATAGAGCACAATGTGGGGCCCAGTGATGCTGTTACCCCCATAGACACCAATGGGGGGCCCAGTGCCGCTATCCCCCCATAGAGCACAATGGGGGAGCCAGTGATGCTGTTACCCCCATAGAGCACAATGGGGGGACCTGGTGATGCTGTTACCCCCATAGACACCAATGGGGGGCCAGTGATGCTGTTACCCCCACAGATACCAATAGGGGTGGCCCAGTGGCACTATCCCCCCATATAACCCAATGGGGTGGCCCACTGCCTCTATCCCCCCCATAGAACCCAATGGGGCCATGGGATGCGCCATTGTCTCTATAGGGATGTGCGGGGCCCAGTGGCACTATCCCCCCCATAGAACCTAATGGAGTGCCCCAGTGGCACTGTTCCCCCCATAGACCCCTATGGGGCCATGGGATGCGCCATAGTCCCTATAGGGATGTGAGGGCACTATTCCCCCCCATAGAACCCAATGCGGTGCCCCAGAGGCACTGTTCCCCCCATAGACACCAACGGGGCCATGGGATGCGCCATTGTCCCTATAGGGATGTGAGGGCACTATCCCCCCCCATAGAACCCAATGGGGTGTCCCAGTGGCACTATCCCCCCCCATAGAATCCAATGGGGATGTAGGGTGCCCCATTGTCACTATAGGGGTGTGGGGTACCCCACTAGCACTGCCCCCCCCCATAGACCCCAATGGGGCCATGGGGTCCACCCTTGCCACTGTAGGGATGTGGGGTGCCCCATTGTCACCGTCCCCCCCCCGACCCTGATGGGGTGCCCCATTGGCACTGTTCCCCCCATAGACCCCAATGGGGCCATGGGGTCCGCCATTGTCACTATGGGGATGTGGGGTGACCCATTGTCATTATCCCCCCCATAGGCTTCTGTGGGGATGTGGGGTACCCCATTGTCACTATCCCTCCCATAGACCCCAATGGGGTGTCCATTTGGCACCGTCCCCCCATAGACCCCAATGGGGTTCCCCTTTGACACTATAGGGATGTGGGGTGCCCCTTTGTCACTATGGGGCCATGGGATCCCCATTGTCTCTGTAGGGATGTGGGGTGCCCCATTGTCTCTATGGGGCTATGGGGTCCCCATTGTCTCTATAGGGATGTGGGGTGCCCATTGTCTCTATGGGGCCATGGGCTCCCCATTGTCTCTATGGGGTCCCCATTGTCCCTCTCCCCCCCCAATGGGCTGGAAGGGGGGGTGGGGGGGCTCAGGAGCCCGGCGCTCCCCAGCCCCACAGCGCCCCCCAGCGGGGTCTCCTGTACATAGCCCCATAGGCGGGGGGGGGCAGCTTCTCTTTGTACTCCTTTAATGCCAGATCCTCTTGCTTAAAGTGAACCCCCCGCCC